ATCCTGCAGTCTCGTGTGCCTTTGTTGACCTGATGGCCTGGCCTAGATACACATTGTTTGTGGTTTTTGTCAAATATAACGATTTTCGTTCATTGAAAAGTACGTTGAAATTAGATTAATTGAATGTAGAGACAGCAGTTTTTTTAAATGATCGCATCCCAGGCAATTACTTCTAATGTCGGATGAGTTGATTTTGTAAATAGTTTTAATGTCATCCTGGTAATCGTATTTGCTGAATCAAATGCTTTTCATGCTCTAATAAACGTGTGATACACTCTAAGTCTCTTTTGCAATGCGACTGTAAATTTAAAAAGAAGGGCAATATTAATATATTTCCGCATTTTTAAACAGGTATGAGTGTGTGTACACGTGTTTACTGTTATAATTGCGAAAAATATACCGATAGAGTATTTAATCGCTCATCCTTCCTTTTTGCATCGCTGTTTTTCTTTTCCTTCGTCTTTAATTATTTTCTTTATACCGTCATCGTTAGTAAAGTACTATCATTTTTTCTTATTTGACCATTATTCTTATATTTGCTTGTGTTATTACGATCTAATTATTTTTCCTTTGCCTTGTCATCACAGGAAAACACAAAGAAACAAACTCATGGTGTACATGTCATGATTTAAAGACTATTAATGGACCTTGACATAAACGGACGTGCTGAATGATTAAAGTGAAAAGAGACATTACAGTAGCAAGCATTAGCTAATTGAAAACAGTGAGAGGACTGCAAGCTGTGAAAGATTGATGGCCCGTACTCCATAGTCAAGGGGTGGACGTAAAAGAGAGAGAAGTAATCAAATCCCTTATAGTGTCTGAGTGAAGGGAGAAAGCTCGAGAGAGAGATAGTGTATGAAACGAATCCCCCATCATTTATTAATTTAAAAATACGTACATAAGAAACACATATTTACAAAGAAAAACACATGAAATGTACTTATATCACAAAATTAATTATAATTATATACTTAAAATAATATAATACATTTTCAGAGGTGATACTTTTTAACATTTGGCCCTCTATGCAATGAATCTGTAATGCGATACCATAGAACCTTTGAGACAGTATCTAAACAGAAAAGGAAATAAAATATAATTAAGACTAAGCCTAGAAAAGGCTTGAGGAAAGGAATAAATATTTGTTGTTTTCATGAGTTATAGCCTATGCAGAAACGTCTCGAGGGATTAGTTATCACGAATCTACAATGGGTAACATAGCGTATATACCAAGGACAAAAATGTTAGAAAAAATGTAATTGAAAATAAGCACCTACTAATTTTTGTAAAAACAAACATGTGAATGATTGTTGGTTAGTACTCTACCCTCAAAGAATGGGAAACCAAAAACTCGTCAATGTTATCCTTATAGGCATGCTAGTAAAAAGGGAATTTAAAAGAGAGGGAGAGAGGGGAAGAGAAATGTGGGGGAGGGAAGAGAGAGAGAGAGCGAGTGATAAAGAGAGAGAGACTGAGAGAGAGAGAGAGAACTACGTTGTGAAGGAAATAGATAACGGGTTTCGAAAGCAATAACTATTGTAGGGTCTGGAAATGATCAGGTTGTCCTGCATATAATAATAATAAGTCCCATTTATAATAATCCTAAAATATCTAAGGAAAATCCTTCCATGGCAATCTAATCGTTCTTATATTAATTTCTTTTTTTGGCGTAATATCTAACTAAATATAGAAAGGATATACGATTATGATAAGCAAACAAATTCCCTGGACAATATTTCTTTCCATGGATATCCATCCAGAAATATAATTTGAAGATGCCGTCCCGTGCATTATGCTACGTACATGTATCTAAATGAAATACATGGCCATAACCACCGCTTATACTTGGTAATACAGCGTAGGATTATAATCACAAATGGAATTCACACACTCGCTCGCCTTCATCGTCACAGTAAAAAGGCTAGCTGTGGCAAGATTGTATTCAGTGCATGCATTATTGAAGGACACTCGCTCTTTCCCTAGGCGAGAGCTGGGTAGGAAACTGAAGAGGATATCGTTCTAGTGACTAGAATATGTCAAAACCATGCAACACACCACAATCACATTGTGCTGTATATGGAGGGGAGTTATAAATAGGGGAAGAGGCTCGTAGCGTAGGGCTATTTTAGGAGATATATTTTGGACATTCACTTGTCACCATTATGGAAGTTAAATGTATATCTGGTCTGAATTATGAAGATGTTTAGGTGTACGGGTATTAATTGCCACCATGTAGTAAAAGTGATGATTGACGATGATGATAAACAATATTATATCTTGTATGTGGCGATGTATTTAGGCTGAAGACTTTCAAAAGGGACAACTATACCAGTTATAATATTGCAGCCAACTTTATCACCACCACAATCATTATTGTCATCATTGTCATCATATTCATCATCATCATTATCCCCCTCCTGAGTCCACAACCTCAAAGTGATCATCTGTCAATCATTATCTTTATTAAATAATCATGATCATAATATAGCTACCTGCATTATGGTTATGCCCTGAGTGACATCATCACTGGCTCCCTTGTTATCATCACTATATTATATTATCGGTTTTAACAATTTTATCGGTTTTTGAAGGCTACTATTATCTTACATGCATATTATTGTTAATGAATACAACCTTTTCCATAATGCCTCTTTGTCTAATATTGAATCTGAATAATATCAACGTTGTGACCATCATCATGATCACACTTACAAATAACACCTGTATATATGGCTTCTACATGTAAGTGGTATTTAATATAGTAGTTGCAATGATCACTTATCAAAATGACGTTGCTTCAAGTATCTTCTGCGCTATCAAAGGACAGATAAGTGTAAAATAATAATAATCTGATATTGGTGTTCTAAGTTTTGCTGGTATGATATTCCTAAACTGCCAGCAAATTTGCCCCTGGGCTTTAACGTTGAAATGGAATACCGGCCATAAACTATAGCACCAACTCAATGTTGACGTCGTTACTTAATACATAAACAATACCATAAAATACACGAAAAAGGGAATATTTAAACGACTTGTCAGTTAATTTTTGATTGAAATCCTCCTTTATTCCTTATCAAAAGAAAGAAAAGCTGGAAGAAAAAAATAAGGACGTTCAATATGTATTATAAAGATATCAACTGTGTGTTGAATTATAACTCTTACACATTGAATTGATTATCATTTATTTTGTATCGCTTTATTAGCACTGAGCTGGTGATTTAGCATCGGGTGCATAAGCGGGCGTCAACCATCTTCATGAATAAATTAACTTTTGAAGCCTCGTCTGGGAGATAGTACCCTGACCTTAAGACCCAGTAAAAGCCAGACGTCCCACTGTCTTTTGTATGAAGGGAAGATAACAGACATCGTCATGTGACTTGCCACCCGATGAGAGAGAAAGCAAGTCAGGGAGAGAAAGAGACAGAGTAAGAGAAGGGATGGGAGGATGTCGGGTAAGATAGAGGGAAGGACATCTGATACAAGAATCGCTATCATGACTTACCACCCGTTAAGGAAAAATGTAGGATGAGAGTGAAAAGAGAGAGAGAGAGAGAGAGAGTGAGAGAGTGAGAGGGAGAGGGAAACGGAGGGAGAGGTAGGGAGGGAGAGTCGAGGCGATGGCGTTACTAATATGCACAATGTGACATCGGTGTGTGTGTGTGTGTGTGTGTGGGTGTGTGTGTGAGTGTGTGTAGAGGGGGGGGGGCGCTATTTAGAAGAAGAAAAAAGGGTTATCGTCGGAAGAAACCTGGTAACATTAAACAGCAAATAAAGACATCGCTATCATGACTTACCACCCGGTCAGGAAAAATGTAAGATGACAGTGATAAAGAGAGGAAGAGAGAGGAAGAGAGAGAGGGAAACGGAGGGAGAGAGAGAGAGGGAGAGTCAAGGCGATAGCGTTACTAATATTTCACAATGGGGCATTGGTGTGTGCGTGTGTGCGTGTGTGTGTGGGGCGCTATTTAGAAGAAGAAACTCCAACAAAATAAGACAAACCTTGTAACATTATTGTATTAAGCACATGCTATTACAAGGTCTTGAAAAATAAGATCGCAGTAACATCGTATACACTGTGGTGGGGTTATACCACTTAACCGTTTTAATCTGTTGAGAAATATAAAGGCATATTTACTTCTACACAGAGTTAAAATCCTTCTGGCTCTCAACACCTATATCTACTCATCGTAGTATGAGTCTCACTACATTCGTCAAAGCTGAATGTTGTATGCAGGGTGACTTTCCCCCATCCATAGCGGGGGTGCAATGAGTGCGTATCCGGGCCGTTAGAACAGAATGGCGTTCTTGAGGCGAGAGAATTGATTATACATCCTGAGCTGTGGAGCACTTGTGGCCCTGACGATATAAAAGTGACATTAATCCGACGCTGAAACATCCTTCTTTTCTCGCCCGCCACGAGAGACTCGGAATTGGATGACAAAAACTGATAGGGAAGAGTGACTGACGGTGCTAGAGTGTGAGAAGTGTGAGAAAGAGAGAGAGTGAGAGAGAGAGAGAGAAAGAGCGCGCGTGGAAAAGAAGATTATGGTGATTTGTGCTAAAATGTTTAAAAGAGTATGAAGTTTGAGGGGTATAACAAAAACGTTCAAAGTATAGGCTGCAGGATGAAATAGCTTTATTCTTTCATATATAGTTAATACATTCACTTTTTTAAATCATAATCATAATTATTGTTTACATATTTGTAGATATTTTTTCTCACTAACTTAAATCTATCGTTAGAGCCTTCGTAATACATTATATTATCTTATATTTTAACGTTTTTTAAGGATAATCTTATTATTACTAAACTTGCATTAAATTCGTAAGAGAGCGAGATGAAAGTATCAATTAAACGATAACAGCACATGGAATAATGGCATTATTTAAAATCTCTATATACAATAATTAATGGCCTTAACGATTTACCACTCAACCCTAACCCTAATTCCGTTTCTTTTAATGATGCGTTCCGTTTTCCTTTCCTCAACAGACAGCCGCGAATCAAAATTGGGATCCAACACGGCCCTACTGAGAACACTCAAGTACACGATTGTAGCAGCAATGGTGATCCATTTAACGGCCTGTGGATGGTATTACTTAGCTTGTACAGGATGGCATGGTAATGAGACACCTGTCTGTCAGAACGACTCCTGGGCGTTATCCTTCAACTTTGGTAAGATTGGATTTGAAAGAGTAATAATAATAATAATAATAATGATAATATATTCATTTGTAAAGCTCAATAAATATGTGAATATATTCTACTGCGCTGCAAGAGCTCGTAAAGGCTGTGTTATACTTCTACTTCTACGACGATACTCAGCAGGATCCATAAGTCAGGATGTAGTGCTGAGGAATAAACTATCTAGTTCTCGGTCTAGAACGGGTATACATACTACATGAACAAGTGAGGTTTAGGTCTTAATTTAAAGTTTTCTAGTGACGGACCTTTCCTTATTTTTTGTGGTAATCTATACCATTGCTATTACATAGTAATGTTGTAATAAGTAGGACAACTTGTCCTGTTTTCTCGCCTTCTCTCTTTCCTCTTTTCTTTCTGTTCTCGCTTTCATTTCATTTTTTAAAGACTTTCGTGTGAGCATAGGATTAGGGTGCACGTATACTTGTGTACCTGTGCAAATGGTTCAACGTGCCCTTTTTCAGACATTTAATTGTCATATACTCATTCCTTGAAATCGTGGAAAGAAAAATTTAGTGGGGGGGGGGGGGGGGGGGGGGAGTTTTCATATCCAAACCTCTTTCGTCCTACATGTACCTGCGATATGATACATTAAATACCCTTTTATTCAGGGGGGGGGGGCAATATCTAAATGATTGTTCCAAGTGGAAGTGATCGGTTTGAACGAAGACATTATTAGAGCAGATAACAGTCATAAAGGGGTCTTAAAACGATTTCTGGGAAAAGTCATGAACCAAATTGGCCTCATAAAATGGTTACTATTAAAAAGATGATAGACAGTAATCACTTCACTTTATTTGTATGCTATTGAGAGAGAGAAAGAGAGAGAGAAAAAAAGAGAGTGCTCTCTCCCTCTCTCTCTCTGTATCTCGTTTTTCGAGCTAACCCTCCCAATCCACTCTACGAAATGTCATGTGTCACATACTGTCATTCAGAAATGGCGGAGAAAATCCCCCAAGTATTTATTTACTCCCATCGCTCTCTGTCGCAATATCTTCTCGCACTATGCGGACCGGTGATGTATTGCTCTGGGGAATGTTTATTTGCTGTTCAGAACAGATAGGGATGAAAATAGGAGGGGAGCTAGATAGATGGAGAGAGAAAGAGAGAAACAGAGAGAGAGAGAGAAACAGACATACAAATAAAGGGCAGGGGTGAAGGTGCCTTCCGAATAGGGAAAGGTTAGACAAAATTGTAAGTACGTTGTTATTGGGCTAATTATTCATGACTGACTTTCGTGAGGATGGCGTAGCAGTCTATGGTAAAGTCATGAAAGGAAGAGAAATGTTTAGAAAACCACAACCTGTTACGATGTGGAGGAGCTTTAAAGTCTATTTTACTTTGCCCCTTGCGATCCCGTCTATAACTTCTTTAACTACTACAGCTCATCCTGCTATTAAAGTAATACAGCACAACAAAGCCATTGGCAACACTACAGCAGCAAACAGTACTACAAAAGTACTACTACTAATAATTATTATTATTATATTACTGCTGCTGCTGTTGCTAAACTATCACTGCTATAACTCCTACTACTGCTATAATTCTACTAATGTCCTACAATAACAACTACTACCACTCTACTACTACTACACCACTACTACGACTATTGTCCATGCTAATAGTTCTACATCTACTGATGATGATGTAGGGTCACACGTACTAAATAACAGCATAAACCATGTCTACTAATTGGTAAGAATAAAACACCTGAACCTTCAAATTACACAGCAACAACCAATACTACATAATTGGGATCTTCCTCCGCCAGTACTTACTACAGAAATACCCGTTGGACGCCGCGTCTGTTTTGGCAATAAATCCCGACATTTACTGGACGATTTAACTCATTTGACTCTGCTAAACACGGTTATTGGTTTTGGGAGAGAAGAGGGAACAAAACAGCTTTCTGAGAAAATATACGTATAGTATACTTGTACTGGAAAGCTTAATGTGATTTAGACATTTGACTGCCGTCTTAATAAATAAATCACATGGTAAAAGAGTGTTCTGTTCTCCGTATATATGTTAAGACAATGGAACACGCTTGGAATGAAAAGCACCATAACTAATTAGATAATCGAAAAAAGTATAGTTTATATAATGTGATATATTTCGACACTGCCCCAGCCCTTTCTCTTCTCTCGTTCATGTCCACTTTTTTTTTCTCATATTATTTTGTGCCTGTAATTTTACTGCAACAAAATTGAGGATGTTTGGCTCTTAATGGAAATATATATAAACTTTTCACCTATATACAAGCTCACATTTTAGGTGACCTGCTTTTTATGTACGATGATTTAAGAAAACGTCAGGAATCTCTGTCGTGTAAAAATAATTTTCAACCCGCAAAAAGTGTGAAGAGGTTACAATAATATTATTACCGATATAATGTTCGGAAGATAGTTGTGTTTCAAGATGTTACCATCTACAGTACACGGAGCTTGCACCCAGCCGTTACATGATGTAGAGGTGAAAAACAAGCCATAAATCGTTGTAGTCATCAGCAGTTTCCTAGAATTAACATGCCCATTAATTTCTTCGGAGAACGCCGGGTGATAAATCGAGGGTAGCATCCTTCACTGTAAGCAATCGAGCTCAATGTGTGATGCATCACGATATTCATCATCTGTCCTGTAGGCTACACAGTAAAAACGCTGCTTAAAAAAGTGATGTTCACTTACAGTTGTACACCATCTTAAACAACAGTTGAACAAATTGTAAACAATGTTGCTCGAAACGAAAGTAATTCTGTTAAACATTCGCTGTTTAAAATTTAATGACTGCTATATTTACTATACGAGAGCTTTTAGACAGTGTTGTTTACATATGACGTCATGTGTTTCGTGCCAGTAAAGTGCGCGTTGGCTAAAAGCTTTATTTCACATTGTTATGTTTAGAAACAGGTTCCTTGAAACTAACATGCAATTGAAATTAACATGCCACTTAGAAATGCAGTGCAGCTGATTAGGCACAGCTCATTGTTATTCATATTAGATGCATACACACAATGCAAGTGTATGCAAGGGTCTTCTGTTGACTACACAGATTGATACATATGTAAAAGCACATGGATATTGGGTCTGGATTAAACTACCAAAGCAACCACACGTGTTTCTACAGGCTCCATTTTGTTTGTCTCTATACTTACATTTATTTACCTTAATAGTTATTACTTTCCAACCCACAACACAACACACATCATTGCCGACCAAGCTACCGACGCGCTTCTAAGTGACTGGGGATTCAATGGCTTAATTGAAATCACTTTTCTATTAACCAATTTGAAGTTTTTAAATTATAGCGTAAGTTCACTGTTAAAATTTTCAGTATCTTTACGCAAATGTCAGAATATAGGTAGACTTAAAATCGTCGCGTCATGCTGTGCGGCACTGATCGCGCACTCGGTTATAACGTGTGCTAAATTCCTTGCCATAGAGATTGCATGCATCCCTATATAATGCAGTTTATACGTGCGTGCATGCGCGCTCATGCAAAATGGGCACTGTTTTGGCACTAATTCATGAATTGCAGAATTACCCTACCATATTGTTAGTCTTCATATACCTATAATATAGAGACCCAGAAGTAGTGGTGCACTTATTCAGAGTATCAAACCCAAATTATACGCCATTATACAACCCTTTTGTTGTAAACAACCCCCACTGAACAACAGCTCCTTTTTAAACAACTTTCTTTAAACAACCCAGTTGGTGTAAACAACCCCCACTGAACAACAGCTCCTTTTTAAACAACTTTCTTTAAACAACCCAGTTGGTGTAAACAACCCCCACTGAACAACAGCTCCTTTTTAAACAACTTTCTTTAAACAACCCAGTTGGTGTAAACAACCCCCATTGAACAACAGCTCCTTTTTAAACAACTTTCTTTAAACAACCCAGTTGGTGTAAACAACCCCCACTGAACAACAGCTCCTTTTTAAACAACTTTCTTTAAACAACCCAGTTGGTGTAAACAACCCCCATTGAACAACAGCTCCATTTTAAACAACCGTCTTTAAACAACACCAGTTGTTTAAATTGAGATTTTAAACAAGTTGTTCAAAATGTTGATCAACTAAGTGTTTAAACTTTAAACAACTCGAGATGCTTAACATTTTAAACAACTTTCAGATCAGGTCACCCGTTAATCAAGAGTTGTTTAAACTTTTAAACAACTTGTTCACAAAATTTTTAACTGTGTACCAAGATTGCTTGACAGTACCGAGAATTCGAAGCTAATAATTTGCAAGTGCAAGTTGTGACTCAAGTTGAACAAATATGTACATTCAAACTATATTTATAATATTGATCGAGGAAGAAGACGAAGGAGGATAATAATAATAATAATAATGATTTTAATAACAAGAAAAAGAAGAAGAAAAGGAAGACGACGAATAAGAAGAATTAGAAGTAATAGGAGAAGAAGAAAAGAAAGAATAGGAATAAGAAGGATTTACTCCCCCAAAAATGGAAAGCTGCCTAATAAGCTGATCCAAATATGCCACAGGGGTCCTTTGATTGAATGTGGTCTACATCTGATTGAAAAGAAGTCGTGCAAATCATAGAATTCCACTTGTCTTTTCTTAAATAAGTGATTGCATCGTGCAAAACTGCCATCGCCTCTTTCGAATTAACTCCAGCACATGGGACAACATATCGAGTGTCTACGAGCATCTGCGGGCACATTCGTTATTTTGGCGGTCAATTTAGGGAACAAAAGTGCATTCGATATTAGGTCGACCCCGTTCTCTCTCTCGGTGTCGTCTGCTAAAACGTCAAAGATGAATTCCCAGGACACCGCACTCTGTCCTCAAAATGGACGAATGTTGATGACATTTATCAGGCACAATTGGAGTACATTTGCATCTGAAAATGATAAATCACATGGATGAGAAAAGAACAGTGGTCCTGTTTACTTCGCCGAAATGAAATGAGGACCAGGATAAAGTGCTAATCAAGTTTTTGTGTTTCGCATTTGTTTTTTCCAGGAAGGCAAAGCTTTGGAGTTAATAATGGTTTCTTGTTCCATTACTTTCACTTCTGTAGCTAAACAACATTTCTATTTCTCTTTTTCCGTATTACGCTTCCCACGAAATAGCGAAACAAAATAAGGGAACGACTTTGACACAATTTAGAATTTCTCTGTACATATATTTGTGGTCAAATCGGGCAATTAACATTCATACATAAATGTGATTATTGTTGTTGTTCAATAGGTGTCAAGTCGTTCCAGACTCCTGGTGAGCCCATGGACGTACCGTCTCCAGGCTACTCTGTCCTGGGCAAAGCACATCCGTCTTAATCTCCCTTAATGACGTTCATATCCATAGCTGTCATTTCAAAGGGTGAAAAAAGAACATTACATGATTAACAAATCACATGATAACATATCCTTTTCCTCCTCAAAAATATGCTGAACCCTTAAAAAGGTATTTTAAACAGACACACACAAGCAAACACACCCCCAAAATCAAACAAAAACAAAACAGCACGAAAAAACAGCCAATGAAATAAGCATACATTATGAAGGGAAATTTGTCAAAGGTATACCAGACTCCCATGTTATGAAAATATTAGTCAATTCATTGCATAAACACAAACTCAACGAACTTATTTCCCCCATGAGATCTGAGTAATGAATTATAAACTTGTCATCTATGGCCTTGTCATAACATTTGTATATCTGGGAAGTAAAAAGCCTGATTAATTTCATTTTGACATCGTGTAGGCCTATGACAATATCGCGAGTAGTGGATTCTGGGAATTGATAATTAAAATGTAGAAACCCTCTCCTACGCTCTAGATGTGAATTTCAACCCGTTGCCAAGGTAACAATTGCATCGTTCCATTTTGCTCTCAAATTTCACCCAAAGTGTTCGTCTGAAGGACAGCACAGAAAATAAATTGACATTTTTCCTTCGTCTTAAATTCTGCGTTTTTTCCTCTATCCCGCGCGAAAAGTATCCACTCATACATAATATTTCCTCCCCTGCATTTCAAACGGGCATCCTGGTGATTACACTTTTTGCTCCGGGGGTGAGTTGGCATGGCAACGGTGATGACGTCATTAGGAGAGGGGGATTTCTTTCTCCTTGCCATAAAGTCGCATCTGGAAAAATGGTCATGTCCAAAATATGCTATCCTGAAGTATATGCTCGATCAAGCAGCCTTGCGTGCAAATTATATTACCTTCTAACATGTATACTGGATAATGTGGAATATATTCCATGTTAATACCCTTTGCATCATGGTGTTGGCCTGGTAGGGAGTGAACACGAGGTGTAACTCATTACAGTACAATCTTTAAAAAGTGTTAAAAGGAAGATAATGAAGAATAAAACAGAAACTGGCCCATCTTATCAAATTTACAAGAATTCGATCACGTTTTCCCCCGATGTATGAAATTCAATTTGGTTCTTCATTACCCCATTTTTACTTGCATAAATATGTCTGTTTATTTCTGTTATTTATTTTCCGTTCGTGTGATACATTTTGAAGCATTCATACATACTTTAAATAAAAAAGAAAGTCCCAACGAGTATCAAAGAATGGGCTTTCGAATGGTTGTCTTCCCTATTTCAAGACGGCACAGCTATATTTTTTCCAACGATGAAAGCTGTTCATTAAGTGTTCATTTTCATTTATTTTCTTTTAAATGTTTGGTCTTGAGTAAACAATGTAAATTTCGTTTCATTATCACGACAGCTTTTTTTCAATACAAAAACAGGTTAAAGCCATGTTAACCTTCTTCAGTAAGATCAAACAAAACTAAACATATAACATACAGTAAGTTGTACTCTACAAAGGTGTTTGGGAAAAATCAAGCATCTTTCGGCAATGTCATACCCATCATGGATACAGTTTGCCAATTTATGATTACCAAAATCCGAAATGGAAGTATGATTGCCGAACTGATATTCTGACAAATTATAACCCCCATAAATGCACACAGTTAACAACTAAATTATTCACACCCCTAGTAAATTTGCTGTTTTTTTTTCTTTGTATTTCGTAACTCAAGAATGAAAGATGGACTAGTTAAATATTGTTAGATCACATTCCCCAGGAACAAAGATCGGGACAAATCGTATTTCTACATACTTAAATAATTACAAAACTTAGCTACGGTAGGAAGAATTTAGTTACCTTTATACATGTACATCTTTTTACCAAACATTTGATTTTTTAAATCATTTTCTCAACATATTATACTATTTCCATGTAAATTTTATATACTAATGGGAAATAGCACAATTGTAACCTTCCCTTGAGCGTATAAAAACAACTATTTCTCTCAAAGCAATCATTAATACTATAATATTCCTCGATATATTTTTGCAGGCCAAGACTTGGACGAAGCATCAACTGGAGATTCATACGTCATTTCACTGTACTGGTCTGTCGCGACTGCTACATCTACTGGGTAAGTATTTATATGTGTCTCTCCTATCCTAAATATAAAGTTAGAAATTGCCTTTATTTTTACACATCTTCGGTAATGAAAGACATGTCTGCAAAAGAGCGAAATGTGTCCCGTACGAAATATGAAATTTCTCCATTTATCTCTTTAAATAAAAAATGCCTACTGTCTTGTAGGAAAAACTTTATTTCAAATGGTTATATATATGGGGAAAAATGGGGACAACAAATCGCACAAGACGCAATAAACTAAATCGACCTTCTGCAAAATCTAACTTGTCATGATCATTTACAATTTTTTGAAACTAATTAGTACAACACAATTAGGGTAAAATATATCATGATTGATTCATTATCAAAAAAGGTTAACTCAATTTCATTTGAAGATTATCTCTTTATTGAGTGAAATATTCTAGAATTTGGTCTTGAGCCCTTTCTATCTTGCAGATTGTTCCATCAGTTGCGCAAAAAAGTCGTAATGATAATGATTAACACATGTTGTTGAGTGCAATTATCATCACTTTTTAGAAGTTAATTCCTTGTCTGTGACCCGTTCTAATTTGGTGATGTAAGTGCTGCGAATGAGAAGGAGAAGTGTTTTTCAGTTATCGCCATGTTGCTCGGTATCTTGTTAAACAGTTATTTCCCCCATTTCTCTTCTTCTCTCATCTGTTCAAATATGGGGATATAAGCGCTGTGAATCAGGAGCAGAAGTGGTTAATATCGATCTTTGCCATTTTGCTTGGTATCTTGTACAAGCATTTGCATTTTCTTATTCAAGGTGAATTTTGTTCAATCTCCCTAATATTGTGTGTACCTGTACTAAGTTCTCTCCCTTTCTCTTGTTCCCTCACCCGCTCAGATATGGTGATATAAGCGCTGTGAATGAGAAGGAGAAATGGTTTTCAATCTTCGCCATGTTGCTCGGTATCGTCGTCTTCTTCGGCATGATCCTTGGCGGTATGGCATCCATGTTGACCAACTTTGACGCACAGAGGGCGCGCTACACACATCGCTTCAACGTTATTAAGGATTCACTTGTAAGAAAACATTTTTTGATTCATAAAAGATTTGTAGAACTCCCCCAAGGGGTTTTACCTCTTAACTTTTACGATCTCACGAGAAATACCTCACCATCAAAGAATAAGGTTGTACACTCAAATATCGGCGATTTCATATACTAGATCAGGCCTTCTCAACCAGTTTATTAGAAGTACCAAAACGAAAAGAATTTGTAGTTGAAGTGCCACCCTGTATGGTTGACTGTGCTGCGAGGGAGCGTAGCGACCGAGCCGAAAATGGGTGGGGTCCAGGGGCGAAGCCCTAACGGGGGTAGCAGGGGGCAGATTTAGGGCTTTCTAAAGGCCCAAATGGGGCATTTTAACACCATTTCATTCCACAATATAATCAATCATAATTTCATATTGATGTGAAAAAATTAGTACAATTCCTGGGTACAATTACGCTGGAGGTATATTTATATGTAGTTTTTTGCGTGCAATAAACACTGGAAATGTCAAAATAAAGTGAAAATCAAACAAACAAAAACAAGATGTTTCCAGAGATTGGCAATGTTAAAATTGGTATCCAATCGTAAGCTAATTGTTGTTCAGATCTTAGGTTTAGATTCGTATAAAATGGTAAAAACCCGATAAATTCCCGTTTCTTCCTGTTTGTTAAGCAGGCATTTCGGGCTCAAATTTGACTGCAACTTCTTGATTTAGCTGAGCATTTATTTCTAAAATATTTATTTTCTTTCTTTCTTTCTGTTTTTTGTTTTGTTGTTGCAACATTCGCGCGCCACTCCGACTGACCGCAAGCGCCACAAGTGGCGCGCGCGCCGCCAGTTGAGAAGGCCTGTACTAGATAACCAACACAAATAATCATTGGCCTATAATTGTTTTGGCACACACAAAATACACACAACATACAAATGTCAAAGGGAGTGGACAACTCTCCTAAGTGGTAATAATCAACGTACAAATTACAGTGATCGCTTGAAAAACAGGAGCAATTAATCTTCTGTATAATAAAACAAAAGCAACACAATAATAAATGGGATCGTCAAAAGGGAGTACGAAACTTGCCTCTATTTTAATCACCTGCACGATTAAATGATATATGCGAATATACAATCATACATCAACATAGACCGAACAGTAAAAGGATCATCAAATCATTCAGCAAAGCGTTACAAAATAAATAGCTCAAACCAAATCAGCATCGAGGTCAGGAATGATGATCCTGACGAGGGCGACGATGAGGGCGGTGCTGTCGGTGAGAAAGACGATGATGACGATGATGTTGTTGTTGAAGATGATCAGTAAGCAAATTCTCCGGCAGAGGTGCGGGGACAAAGTCGTTCAGTCCTTTTCGGACAAAAATTAAACCGGCACGATGTACAATCGCACAGTTAAAGATGTGTGTACCAAAATCCGACTCACGCTCTCATGCTCACGCGGTGAGAAGAGCCCAATGCCCCAATGCAATCACCACCGCAGTGCGATTGGTTGAAAGTAGTGTAAAATACGCGTGTATACAATTGACATGCGACCATACGCGCTGTACGTAACAATGGAAAATCTACATCACAAAAGAATATATTAACGAACTAGACAAAACCGGTTCGAACATGTCTGCAAAACCAAACAGGCGGAGTGGAAAATTACCACGCAAAGGAAGTTAGGTCTCCCTAGTCGCCATTTTGAAAATGGGAAAGCAATACACATTAAACATCTACACATAAATCAGGGCAAATAAGGAACATTTTCTGTAAAAGTTAAAGATCGTGACATTTAGTCTCGACAGAATAATGATTTATGGTCCACAAATCGTTGTATAACAACTTATCACCAAACCTAAACTCATGTCTAAAGTATGATACATCAAAGTAAAACAAGCTTGGACATCTTCATTATATAGTAGTAAAGCAATGTAAGGGACTAAAGGTTTTTATAATTAAGAATACTTCTCAAAACAATACATTTAATGAACATCCATTTATAATATAGAGATACAAAAACTTGATAAAATACAAATAAAGGTAATTCATGTATCAAGTCTGCTTAAAAAGGAAGGTGTAGCAGACATAGCCAGCTATTCGTAATAATATTTTTCAAAGAATCATCCTCTCTTGTTATGTTGAGCCTCGCAAAAGGATTGCTGATTTCAATCACAATGTAATGATCATACACGACCACAAGAACAACAGAAATTCACCTGTCACTTCCCTATCACCTTTGCACCTCTTCATGTTGACCTTACAGAAGGACCAAAGCGTTCCCGAGGACCTTCAGAAACAAGTGATAGGTTACTACGAGTACCTGTGGGTCAGGAAGAAAGGTGTGACCGACGACAGTCTTATCAATGCTCTGCCTCTCACCTTCCATGCTGAAGTCTCTCTCAGTGGAAACAAGTACATTCTAGACAAGGTAAGGTCATGTCAGGGGTCATGTCAAAGGTCAAGTCAGGGTCACCATGTGTTGCTTTTGAAAGTGTATTCGCCATTTCTGATCAATGATGCTTGACCTTATCAATGCTCTACCCCCGACCTTTCATGCTAATTTCCTTTTTATTAGAAGTAAGTAAATTCTAGACAAGGTAAGGTCATGTCAGGGGTCATTTCAGGGTCAAAATTAATGAGTGTTCATCCTATGGCAATGGAAAATTAAGAAGGGGTACAACCAGCTCATGTCTCGTTTTAAAACCAAGGTGGCATACCGTAAGTGCACAATATATTATGTACTCGTCCTTGTGTTTTTGTGTCCATCAAGATCAAATATTGTCCAACAGCCTTGTGGAAAAAAATAAGATGACTTCCTTTTTTTGTTGCTTCTTTCCCCCTCCTTTCCCCTCTTTCACATAATTCTTGATCCAAAGGCCTGTCCTTTCTGATCTAAAAATAACCTGCAAGGAGTTATGATATTGTAAACAATTCTGTCATTTGCAGGTAGAATTTAGATTTTTAATAAACTGGGATGATATATACTGTGCGCATTTGTTTAGTATATGCTACAGTCTTAAGAAATTCCCGTATCCATGTTTTCACCCCTCTCAATGTTGGTCACTCCTGCTATTATAAATGCAGGCAAAACTCCTCCTCATATGTCAAAAAAAAATCCAGCCTATATTATTTAGCTTGTTTAATGATAGAACAGTGAACAAACAGTTGCTATTTAGAACTGAGTTCGGCCTGACGAAATGCAAACACCTGCAGGGGTGCAGGTGGCTTGTTTGGCACATTTTTGGGCGGGTTTATTCTCGACATTCCGCCTGCATCAATAGTGTCTCAGGGCAATTAATACCTGAACGCTCAGTAAATTACTGATTTAGGTCGTTTATTGAGATTATGTGTTTGTATACATGTACATGTATACTATTTTGCCTTATTTTTGTAACTTAATGGTTTCTCATTTCCCTTATATGCAATAGAAGAAAGTGTTGGATAGATAATCTTAACCAAAGGAAAATGATATTTTTTTAATTATTTAGAAAAGAAGAAAATTTGTCCTTCTAAATATACAAACAACTCAAATGTTGTCTTTGCGACTGCATTTTGCTTCATCGTCATATATGTGCCGTGGCATGATGGGCATGTAACCGGACTATGAAGCAGAAGGTACAGGGTTCAATTCCCTGTCACGGCTGTAATGTCCTCTGGCAAGAAATTAATATTCATTTGCCATGGAACCGTGAAATGAATAGTAAGGTCCTCTGAAAACAAAATATTAATAATAATGGGAATAGCCTGAGTAAAGAAAACATATTCTTATAATTTCATAGTTGTAAATGTGTTTTATTTTTGAATGGTTTTAGGCGCCCATGTTCCAAGGGCTGAGTGACGGGTTTCTGCGCATGCTCTCTCTGGAGATCAAACCATCGCTGTATCTGCCACGGCAAAAAATAGCTGGAAGGAACGAGATTTGCCACGACATGTACTTCATACAGAGAGGAGAGATTGAGGTAAAGCAGACTTACTTACTTATGCACATTAGGAATTGGAATGGGGGTAGAAAAATAGCAAAGGGGAGGAATGGAAGAGAAATAGAATTTAGAGAAAATGAAATGGAGGCATGCGTGTGCTCTACAAATGATAGTGGATTGAAGAAAAAAGAATAATTTAAGAAAACGGAAAGGGTGTGGTAAAAATAGTGAAACGTTTACTAAATTGATGGTTATGTCAAAATGGTACTTCTTAGATGACTCTAAAGACATTACAGTACTTTGGTTGATTTTGGAACATGACAAATTATAATCTTAAAATGTTTGATTGATTCAGAGACAGCATACAAACAAAAAATATATAGAGAAAGAGAGAGAGAGAGGAAGAGACAGAGATAGAAAGAAACAGGGAGAGACATAGTGTGTGAGTGATAGATAGACAGGAGAGAGAGAGAAAGAGAGAGAGCCAGACAGAGTAAAATAGAAAGAGAGAGAGAGAGAGAGAGAAAGGTAGGTAGTGCTGGGATACAGAGATGTGAAGAGAGACAAACAATTCATAACATTTCACAAGGGTTCTTGTAATTACATGATATTTCATTTTCCCCCTGCAGGTCCTATCAGCTGATGATGACGACACACCCATTGCAAGGCTCAACCATGGGAAACTATTTGGAGAAGTAAGTCATGTCTTTCATTTGTATTCATTAAGTCTATATGATTATATTTTACCTTGGATGTTCTTTCTTGTTTTGTTTTGTTTTGTTTTGTTTTAGATAGCTACTAAAACTTCCACACAACTTTTAAACATGTATATATGTTGATATATTCTTTTTTGTAATGTTAAAACAAAGCTTTAAAAATATACATAAGTTAAAAGTTGTTTATGTTTTGAGTCTAGCCTCTTCCTTATGCTGTGTTAATGACTACTTTATTTTCACTTACTTCGTTGTACAGGTTAGTCTTATCTTCAGCATGCCCCGAACAAACACCATCAGAGCCGCTGCTCACTGCGACCTGCTAGTCTTGGACAAGGGTGACTTACAAAATGTCCTCCTTCACTACCCTGAAGGTAAGTAGGGCTTATTCACACATGCCAGGGTAAACCACTTTTACATGTGCGTACTTGACCATACTGCACTTCACATTTGTGTATCTTATAACTGAGATATAGGCGCGAAGCTTTATTGTTCATCCCCACTCGCCAATCGTTTACTGAGTCGTTCACACTTATTCCGTGGAGGGTTTTTTTTTTTTACTGTGGCTTATGTGAACGAGCCCTATTAGTTGGTTAATCTTATACATTTGTTTAGTTTAAAGAATCCACATTCAAATAGTTGTCTTGCCCGGGATATGATAACAAATTAGAGCTACATGTAACTAGACAAACTACTAATGAATGATGTGCATTTCAAAATGTACAGCCCTCCAATTCCAATTGAACTTCATCAACATAATCACAAATCAAGTGAAATATTTAATGAATTACCCAAGTATTTATTATATTTTCCTTGGACTAATGTTTTTTCTCCTTTAATATCTTTAGTCGCCAAGAAGTTGCAGGATATCGCGGATCAACGTTGCGATGCAGCGGGTCTTCTAGAGGAGCGCGTCCGAGCCGGTGAAGGCATCATTCCTGCCTCAAAAAGCCTCTCAAGACATGGAAACCCACAAAACAGTAAGTAGGATAACGTGGAAGTCTTTAGCTTGGATGCTGATATCATACAAAGAGGGTATAAGGCCCTGTTTTTAGAAAGTTTTTATCAATGACTGTTATAAGCTTGACATTGTATTGGCTGAGAGCAAATTTGTCATAGACATATAGCATTTATTATTGGTAACAAGTTTAATAAAATATGGCGCTGAGCCTAGTATTTTAAAGCGATATGATTGTTTCAAATCGATTGCAAGTTGATGTTAATTGTAATCATATACCCAACAGATAGGAAATTGGAAATCAGTGATTGAGGGGCGGGTTGTATATTGATGAGGAACAATTGCAACTTTTTGGAAGACAGGGCCCAGGAGATGACGATGTTTTACAAATGGTAACGAGATCATACTGAAATATGAAGTTGTAGATATAGTTCTCAAGATGTAAATCCTTTTCTATTTTATCAGAACATGACTCGGCCTATCCACTCAACTCGTACGAAGCATTTGACATGGAAGACGTAGAATCGGAATGGGTAACTGTACACAGGGGATCCGTCGTGATGGTAAGTATAAATAGCCAATGGCATCGTTCCTTTCATCGACCTTATGATAGAGCACAATACTTTAAACCAATCAGATTGGGCCTTTACAAACATTCAACATATTTAATTTAATGGCAATAAAAGCTGCATTAAAAGAGTTTGAAATATTTTTAAAAGGTGTGATATTCTGCAATCTACTTTGAATGTAGCCTAAATTTTTTAATTTTCAAATTCCGATGGAGCAAAAGAGAATTATATTTTCCAAATTGTGACAGAAAAAAAAAGATAATGAAAAGTTATATGGCGTTTTGGGATTGTTTTTCTTCATAAGTGTCAGCCATTGGCATAACAAATTGGCAAGTGTGAAATATCATAGTACACCATTCACCGGTGCAACTTTTTATTACAAAGAGAACAGTGATAACAACCAATAACTTACATGTATACTGTTTAAACAAAAAGATGAATGAAAAATCAGGAACCCTTCCCGGCATTGATAAGATCATTGATTTTTCTTAAGATACTACACAAATAAGACTTTGGCAAAAGTTGTCATTTGAATATATATTTGCCCATAATCTATGCAAATGGTTGATATTTAATGGGTTTTGTTAATTCATCATTTAAATTGATATTTTACCTACTATGTTTCGTAAGGTCTATTATTCAAAACTCATTTTGAAAATGTTCTATACTTTTAGTTCCTACTCACATTATTATTTATGCATGAGTCTTATTAAAATACTACTAACATAGAACCATACAGTAGAAAAAAGATAACATTTGCTTAATCTTTGCTTCATATCATGCAGAACATTCAGGATGAGAAGTAGAATTCACATTGATTTTAATAAGTCAATCATTTAGTGATATTAATAACACTGTCTTGTTTTGTTTAAAATCATTATTAGACCAGTTTGCAGATTCATTGTGCTAATATTCCGTCGAATAACAATACAAGAAATAGGAGAATATCTAATATCACTCATTTGCTGTATATTTTCCCAGATTTAATCGGCATACATCTCCTTGTAATGCATATATATAATATTATTATGTGCTAAACAAAAGAAAACAAAATACAAAATTGTTTTTGTTGTATTTCTTAATCTACTATTTACCTTTAGCGTTGCAGTATTGTCTAATTTGCGTTTTTATATCTAACGAAAGAACAACCTAGAAGTGTGAGCTATGTAACAGCATGACTATGAATATATTAACAATTTCCCCCCATTCTTTCATTTTTAATGCCATATTTCAGCTTTTTATGGCACAAACCTCATGAAACTATGGAAACGACATTAAATCCTCTCCCTTAAATAGAATAACATGAAGTTCTTCCCATACACTTACTAACATGTACTTTCTAACTCAGTGGCGCAGCAGGTACATGTATTAAAGGGTACTCTTATTGTGAGTTGAGTGAATGGGAAATTGTTTCAGAGTTGCAGGAAATTCAATGCAGTTCAATTTAGTGAAATATCAATAATTTGAACATGCAACTATAACAATAATAATGCACATAAATAAGAGTAGGTAAGTGAGTGTGCGGGTGCGTCCGTGTATTTTTTCGTGAGAGAGAGAGAGAGAGAGAGATAGAGAGAGAGAGTGGTAAGGGGGGGGGGGGAGATTACGAGATTACATTCCAGTTTATTTTCATGTTCTATTTCCCTTCTCACTTCTTTTCACTCTATCTCTCTCTCTCTGTCTCTCTCTCTCTCTGTCTCTCTCTCTGTCTCTCTGTCTTTCTCTTTCCTCCTGTTTTCCATCGCTACTGGGGCTCATGTCCCGCTTCTGAGCTACGCCACTGGTCTCACTTACTGCAATTAATTAATAACCTTCATGATTAACATCATGCATTGCTTACAGGCTGCTCCAGTTACTGACAAGAATGAATTTGAATACCTCCATAATCGACCCCTAGACATTTCTAACATTAACTAATCATTTTTCTTTTTGAACAACGCAAGTTGGCAATTTATTAGACCCATTGCATCGTTCCTGTCACACTAAATTTTGTTTTCTCACAGAAGTCGTACTCGCGGTATAGGACAAAAGGTTGCAATTCGTGAATTAAGAAGAATGTAAATTGTAAATTGGTAGAAAATAACTTTTGTAAATGTTTGAAAGCAAATTAATTATATATAACAAACTGTGTGCAGTAATGACTTGAAAAGGTGTCGGTAGTCAACTAACAATGCTTTGATAATACTTGGTTTCATATATTTCAGTTGTTAGGTAAAGGGGGAAAACGGGGAGATTTTAAACAATGGTCTTCCTTTTTAATTAGGAGTCAACATGAACGTTCATTAATAGTTGAGTTTAAGGGACCACATTTTATTTTGTTCAAAGAATATTTTGCTTCTAACCCTATAAGAAAAAAATAAAGAAAAACCTAGATAAGTGTAGGCCTACTAATCAATTTTATCTTATGCCTTTTTAAATATACATTTTTTCTTTCCGGATTTACTCTTATTCCTATGGCACAAAACCATAATGTTAAGAAGAGGATGTCTAAATGAGAGAACTGTGTTAACAGGTAAAGGGGATTGCTTGCCTATAACTAGGTATCTGGAATTCTTCCGACGTAACTGTATAATTATGTAGGTACACTTTCTTTAATTTAAGTTGTTCATTTTTATTGACATCGTACGACATTTTATCACATTGCCTTAATCAGCACAGCCCGGCAAGGATGACACCATCGGTAAGAACCATCTTGCTTCAAAAGTCGAGATTTAGCTCCTTTAATCTCGCAAAAAAGCCTGTCACGTCACCCCTTTCACAAATTTTCATTCTTTGTCCTGACTTTAGATGTGTAGTATCCATAGTCGCCCTTGTAGACCTGTAAAGAGAGTGTTTTGTCTGTGTATGCGCACATTTCATCGCTTCAGCCCCACCCACTTTTCTCGTTCATCCAATCAGAGTTGTGTCTTGTCTTTGTATGCGCACTTTCCACCGCTTTAGCTCCAACCCACTTTCTCTTATTCATCCAATCACCGTCGCTCCTTCACTGTGCACTCCCCCTCCAGCACGACGTCATCTTCTCTTGTGCACAAGTCACCACTTTTTTCTCCTTTGCACATTTAATTGAAACTTGACGTCATGATCATGTTTTGAGGCCACGCCCTTTCAAGTGCTTATTTAGTATTATCACGCCCCTCCAAATGCTTCTTTCATATTGTCACAATATTAACACCGTAAATTCCTGCTTATGTAGAAATAATTCTAGCTATATTTTAGCAAAACAAGAGATGATGATGAACATTGATGTATATGTTCATAAAACATGTTTTTTACCGTATACCAGAAGAACCTTCCCTTATAATGCGTTGTCCTACTGGGTTCCCTTTTATACATTTTCAATATGCGTGGTTTTATTTTATTCTTCAACTCAACAAATCTATTGAATATAGCTTTTGCAGATTTACTCTAAATCGGTATGCTGTTCACTAACGTTAACTTCGTCTCCCATTTAGCTTTCGGTGTTTTTGTAAAGAAAAGAAGTACTCTTGCATGCTGTTAGATGCTAGTTCTGTCTTATATCTTTTTTAATCCTGGTTTTTTGTATTTGTTAATCATATCCAGTGTCGTTATTGTTCTGTCAGTCTAAAGTGAAAAAACATCACCTTTAATGGAAGGCAGGCCACTTTGTTTCCCCATGATCAGTTATAATACATCTTGCATCAAATTTACCCAAACAAATTATTGTGGCTGAAGCACGTTGAATTATCTATCACTTAAAAAACAAAATCCACCATAAAATTCTACTTAAGTAAATAAATCAACAAGTTGAAATCATCTTCACAGCCCGAGCCTTCAGGTAACCAAGATATTAGATGTTATTATAACATCTAACTAGCTTCATTGAAATTGATGACACTTTTAATTACAGATGCCTAAGTTTAGATTGAATACTGAAAAGGCAAGCTGTTCCATTATAAATCTATTTATCTATGAAATACATTTTACTGGACATTACAATCTCTTTTATTCTTACCCTGATGCTTTTTTTTTCTCGTTATGGATTAATTGTAAATATAATGAAAGCAATTTGTTTTAGTAAATGAGCGACTAAAGATGTTAAACAATTTGTAACTAATATTCCTCCATGAAGAAGAAGAGAAAAGATAAAAAAATAAAATATTACATGGTTACACAACCAGATACAACTATTTTGTTTATATCCTCACAGCGAACTGGACGTCATCTACGTATCTTATGGGATGACATTCAATCCCTCATCACAGACACAGTCGTCCTACCCAACTCACGATTCGCTAGGCTCTGGGAGCTCCTCGTCCTACTCGTCACCCTCGTCATCGCCTTCCTATACCCGTACTGCGCTAGCTTCATCGGTACGCTCCTACAGAGCTATTACAATTTGAGGGATTTTCATTAATTTTTGTTTTTTTGACGTTCAGAGTAGGATAAATCCAAATTATCTTTATTTGTGTATATGTGAGATACGATGATCTGAGTTTGTTTGCATTAGTGCATGCAATAATCCTCCAATTAATTCTTGCTTAGACACAAGAAACTAGACCGTAACACGTGGAAAAGAACATAAGGCTGAATATGTAATTTGTTTTAACCCTATGTTAAATGGGGGGGGGGGGGGTCAATTTGACCTCCCCCCCCCCCCTGTAGAAATTTCGCGACTACTCCGAAACCGCGGCAGATATAACATTTTTCTTTCATGACTTTTTTCTTTCGACCCTTACGCATCTTTTAAAACGATTTTTTCGAAAATCGGATGTTAAGTAAAAAAAAAAGTCACGTGTTCTTTTGTCTTTGCATGTCAGCCCGAAAATTACTCATTGTTGTGATTTGTGTACAAAACATAAGGAAATGTCATTTTTCCTAAAAAGAGATAAAACATTGGTTATTTAGTCTTGTTTAAAAAGTTTAGGTGTTTGTTTTGGGGTCAAAATAGTTGAATTGTAGTTATAAATGAAATAAAACAACAAAACAATACAATACATAAGTTAAAAAAACAATAAAAAATACATAAGAAATTATCAAAACCATAGATAACAAAAGGAATAACCCGGCTCTTCCAATTTGTTGTGTCGTATTATTGTTCCAAATGGTCGAACAAATATATATGTAGTGAAAAAGAATGCTTGAATATGAATAATGTCTGATTTATGTGCAAAAATGTGAATTGTATGACCTTATATGCATAAATTACCATAAATATGCAAATTAGTGAATTTTTCAAAAAAAAATGAAATTACCATAGTATTCTATACACTTCACTTGGCATGTATGCACATTTTCGCGGCGATCGGCAGTGAAACGGCCGATAATTTGGGGGGGGGGGGGGTGTCTGAAATAACCTAGTTAAAATAGGGTTAAAGGAGGAACAGGATATTAATGAAGAGAGTTGAATTTAAAAAATGCTGATGATTGATTTATTTTAGAAATATAATTTGCGGTCTTTGTTATGTGATGGTCTTTTGAAATGCACCAAGGATCATGAAAAAAGGTGAAATGCGTAACTTTGCAATTTTCCGTCACAGCCAACCAGAATCGTAACGACGAAGGAACCGAGAACCTGATTCTCCTCACACACATGTATCTCATGGACTTCGTGCTCGTCATCGACATCGTAGTACGACTTCGAACGGCCGTCACCACGCCCAACGGTAAGATGATAATAGGATATTTTTTTTAACGAGTTGAAAGGATTCCGTCCTCCAATATGTTGATTGTTGGATTTTACAGGGTGAAATAATAAAAATAGAAAAAGACAAACAATCAAGCAAAGAAGACAAAGCTACAGAAATTAAGAAAATCAAAGAAAAAAACGACGAAAACAAAAATTAAAATTAAAAGACTTTAAGAAAATTATCTCCGAGTACAAGTTGGGAAAATAGTCAAAGCTATTTTACTGTGATATCATCGATGCGATAACAAAATAGTGTAGGTGTTCATTTTCCGTCAGCAAGAGGTGTGATTACGTGAAGTACACTTACTCAATCCTTGAATAAGAGAGTGTAAACAGGGAATATAAGAACTATCTGGCTCTGACGTCAAAGATAAAAATGATTTAAATGTGGTGGGTTTCTAGTAGATGTGTAGTTATGCATCCGCCACAAAGTAGCCAGATGCATTATTGTCTTATGATATCCAAACCTTTTGGTTGCAATGAATACACATTATTTAAAAAAAGAAAAAAGCATATATTATGACAATGGTCAGTGTTCTTGTCCGTGAAAAAAAAAATTGTGAGGGATATGATTATTTCTATGAGATTACTATTGTTTTGTAGGTACATTCAAGGACTTTCATTACATCCGGGACCACTACGTTCGGAGCTGGGGTTTCGTGGCCGATGTGGTTGCGATCCTACCCCTGGATCTGTTCTGTCTCCTGCTACCTGTAGGCATCCAACGGACCCATGCTCTCTATCTACTGGCTCTCAACAGGCTTATCAAGTGCTGGCGGGTAGGCTTTAAAAAAAAAAAACATCTTTGTTAACAGTTGATACCAATTCAAATCCATAAAAAAACACATAAGATACACAATTAATACAATAGAGGAAACAGAGAACACACACAAAATGGAAATATTTCTTGAAATATACCGGAATTATACACAGTTAATCAGCAATAGAAATAAATTGGGAAAACTGCAAATAAAACTCCTTTGTTAACAGTTAATACCAATTCGGATTCCTGCCAAGAAATGTCCACAGTTTCTTTATTATTAGTGAATATCTTTGAATGATTCCGACGTTACTTAAATTTATTGGAAAATTGTTTTGTCATAACTTTGTGATAGTAATCTGTTATTCTTAGCGTATCAAATCAGGCTTTAGAAAAATTTGTTTCAATAATATGAAACAAATAACTGCTTTTTTGACAGGGCTAGAAAGAAAATATACATTAAAAAAAAATGTTTAACAAAATATAACAATATATAACAAAAGATGTCTTTTAGTTTCCTCTTAAAACCGTAAAGTTCCTATACTTACCACGTAAATAATCATGTACATCTTTTGAAATCTTCCCGACAAATAGGTTCCAAACTACCTGCAAAACTTGGAGCAGAACCTTGACGTCAACATCGGGACCATCCGATTCTTCAAGTTTGTCATCTACATTGCTCTTCTCTCCCACTGGAGCGCCTGTCTATGGTACCTCTTCGCATGCCCATCGGGCAAGTAAGTACCCTGTCACAACGGTAACGTACACTCCAGGTACCCCACTACCCCAGTACCGTACATCCCAGTACCATACTCTCATGGACCCTACACCACTGGTACCATACAAAACTGGAACCATACACCTCTAAATACCTATGTATACCCTTCAGTACCTTTACACCAACTACACTCGAACCCTGGTGTCACATGCCCCGAGTACCACGTACATGTACTCCTGATACCCTACAACCTTGTACCCTACATCCTTGGTACCAAATATCTATGGTGCCCTAAAACATTCGTACCATATACTCGAGGTACACTCCACCCCCGGTACCCCACGCCCCTTGTACCACACACTCGATATCCTGAACCTCTGGTACTATACAACCTTAGTACCTTACATCCCATGATCATAAACTTCTGGTATACTTCAACCCGGTACCACAAGCCCTTGGTAGCATATACATCTAGTACCATACATGTACACCCCCAGTACCGTAAACCCCTGGTACCAAGAGAGAATACCCTTCCTGTGGATAGCCTATAATATATTTTTAAATTTCTGTTTAAAGACTACAAAGAGTCAAATATTCTTGTAATTATGAATGAAATTATCAAAAAAAAATAACACTCTTAATTAATTTCTTTCTTCTTGCTGCTATCAAATAAGTTATCACAAACTGCTCAATCGCTATTGTGCTTTCTAAATGCATTTACTTTTGCAACGGAAAATATATGTAATGTCATCAATTCCTTATCATAATTCGCCTAAAGTAGTTCAGCAAATTAGATTGTTGGAAACAGCTTAGCATTGTGTTTTTTTTATTATTATAATAGTGAACTAAAGTAAAGAAAAGATTTTGTTATTCTGTTATCAAACGAAAGTTGCACTGTTTGGTTAAGAAAAAAGAAAGAAAATGCAGTATGTATTAATGTATATTCTAATGCTTAGTTTACTGTAACTCATTCAAGTTGAATGTATTATTTAAGTTAACAATGTTGCATTCATCCTTATAAAATGGAAAACGACGATGTTAAAGCTACAAGAACAAAAATAATTGATAACTTTGTTGTACAAAAGAATCAGTTTGTATTACGTGTATCAATACTTTCGTTCGGGAACAACTGTGCCGAGAATATTCTTCTGAAATTTCGCTTCCTCAAGTAAGATCCCAAAACACGTGTGAGAAAATTATATAACACTGTCCACTTTTTTTTTATCTGCATGGACTTCGACAACGTGTTTTCCATAAATACTCTTCGTCGCGTTATGATATCTCATACTTCTGCCTTTGATCATATTCTAATGCAGTGTTTTATTTATTATACATAATTACTACGCAACTTATTCTTGTTTTGAATAATGATGTTTTTCTGCATGCCTTTTGAGTCTTAAAGACTTCTCTGTATTAAACCAATTTATGTAAAAGGAGATTTCAAGTCATCAAGGAAATATTCTTTGAAAGATGAGTTTCTTATTAGTTTATTATTGAAGACCCATGAGAAGAAGTCGGATTAATGATTAGTATTATTATATTGTTTTAAATTCATTCTAAATTTGTCATAGACTTAATCGTTATCAATGAAAATTGTTAATTGAACTAAATAATTTATCAGTAATTTTCTAAATGTTTTTATTCGTCACATTTGTGTACAATTTGTATTTCATGTAGCATATTCGTGGTATCACGCTCGTGTAGTATGCATTTGACGTCCAAATTAGTTGCTGCTTCGCTGTCTATTGCATTGTATACGTCGTCCGTGTTGCTTGTCGCATTTAGGTTCCATCAAGACACATTCTAGATACCCTATTTCATTGCTCACGTCACAGATCGACCAAATCAGTATATCCACAAAACTATATACATTAGACACTTGAATATAATCCCAAAGTAGTTTACCTTGGAATGTAAATGTTAACTAGTACCCTCCTCCAAATTGTAAGAATATTCCCGATAGTTATAGACGTAAAGTATTGGGGCGGCACTAGGTACTTGTTTTCTAAAGGGGGAGGGGTCGACTGAAGGCAAATACGATATTGGAAAATGAGTCTCCGCTCCTTGGATGCAGAACCGTAAATAAAGTCATTGTCCAATCCTTCACAAACTTGCTGGATGATCCTAATTGGAAATATAGCTAAAAAAAAAAAAAATTTTGAGAAGAAAATAAGATTTAGATAAAGCAGTATACGTTTGAAAAGCGTCGACATTCGAAATGCTCCTGCTTCTTGGTGCCGCCTCCACATACAAGTAGTGCATTGTAGAAATCCCCACCCTCCTACACATCGTGGTATTAGTTAAGAATACACTTTTTAGACAAAAGTCTTTGCTTGATTTGTCCTCTCGCCGTTCACATAGATTCGGTTATTACACATTGCACAATTGAGATATAGGCCTATTAGCGGGGGCAGCCATCACGGTATCTACCAGTTAGAAAGAATTGAGTTTGTTGTAGTGATATCTGCATAATATCAATCAGGCCTTAAATTTCAATATTTTTAGGGTAAGGCCACTTTTCTGTAAGGCACATTCCTATATTACAGCACAAATAGGAAGAATTGGAAAGGGCACAACAAATCTCCAAGGCCAGTGAGAGGGGCATTGAGGCCAATCAAAGGGGCATCCACGGCCGTGGCCTTGGATTAATGCAAGCCCTGATAAATTTTGGGGATACAGTATATCAATTCAAAATTTAGATTTAATTTATTACTAGCTTTGCTTTCAGCTATATATATATCGAAAATCAGAGCTGTAGATACTTTGATATTTTACGTCATAATCAGATGGGTACTTGAACTCTCTGTCTCTTGAACTCTTAAGGACTAGTAATGTTATAGGCCGCCAGCGACGTTCATTTTGTCATGTTTGTTGGGTATTGTCCTTGCAAATCTAGTTTGTTTCTGTATTTTTGTTTCTATTGGATCTTATGTTTTCGGCATTGGTCTTTTCAATTTGGTTCATTGCTGAGTACTTTTCCTTTTCTTGTCGATTCACTTCGAGTGAAACACAGTCACATGCTTTTGTTTTGCTTTCATCGAGAGCCCGAGACATACCACAGTCACCCAAACGAGACCGACACCCGACGGCTACATCAGACTAATAAAACCATTACGTTATACCCATTGGCCACGTTAGTATTACTACCAGTCGGTTTTAAAGTTAGTCGGTCATCGAGTTTAGAGGGCGCTTCTCGCAACGCTCAATGACTTTGACAAGCCACACCAGTGGCAGTGCCATGCCAGCAACGAGGCCTCGCCGAAGATTTTCGGGCAAACCCGGAGCGGTCACTTTTCGTGCTTAAGTTGCGCGATGTTGCTGTTCTACACGTGTTATTTGCAAATTGATAAAGCAATGGGCATTGTTTGTATGTATATATGATTATTATGCATGTACGTGTTCGCCACTAAAAAGACCGAAGTGCAGAGACCGTTATTTGATACTTTCGTCCAAACCTCACAGCTTTCGCCAACAGTTCGTGTATTAATAACCAGCCTGCTTCGCGCGCAACACTCTTATCCGATAACATTGAAACAACCGGATAGTAGCGAGTTTTCGCTCAGCGACGGAATAACCTTCTACGACTCGGCAGCACTCAGGGTTAGGACCGTCGTAAACGGACCGCCCTCGTTGCAATCAGGCGCGTAGCCAGAGGGGGGCGGTGGGGGCGGTCGCCCCCCCCCCCCCCAAAACGCCGGCCAAAAAAAAAAAAGAGAGAGAAAGAGAAGAAAAAAAAAGAAAGAGGGCGTAGGAAGAAAAAGGGAAAAGGAGTCGAGAACGGTACAATGAATCGTCAAAGCTTCCGCGCTTCGCGCGGGAAGGGGGAAACTGAGTTCAAATTAAGAAATATGAGTCGGGAAAGGTACAACGAATCGTCTTCTTTCTCTAATAATTTAATGAAACGTCAAAGCTTCGCGCGAGAGGGGGGGGGGGGGGGAACAGAATTCAGACAAGGATTAAGAGTTGAGAAAGGTACAACGAATCGTCTTCTTTCTCTAATAATTTAATGAAACGTCAAAGCTTCGCGCGAGAGAGGGGAGGGACTGAATTCAGACAAGGATTATGAGTCGAGAAAGGTACAACGAATCGTCTTCTTTCAAAGCTTCCGCGCTTCGCGCGGGAGGGGGGAAACTCCCCCCTCCCTGCACCCACCCCCCTAGGGAGCGCGCTTCGCGCGCTCTTTAAGTGATTCGCACGCTTCGCGTGCTCACTACCGCCCCCCCCCCTAAAATGAAATCCTGGCTACGCGCTTGGTTGCAATGAGCGGTTTCGCTTTCCGGTGAACGCGTACGTATAGTACGGAGGTATCGCAATGCAATGACAATGCCCTGCCACGCAATACAGTACCGACGGGACTACACGACTAGCCAGCTTAAATTGTCTTGATCGACCAAGCCACAAAACGGCTTTTAATCATATTTCAACAAATCATAATCCACCTTTAAATCAATTCATATGCTATATTCAAGTTGTTATATTTAAGAAACATTAATCGAAAGAAAAAAAATCACCGAAGAGCCGTTCGCGTTGAAATTCATCATGTTTCTTCGCGTACGTTCCCCTATCAGCTTTGGTACAAGCGCGCGGATTGGCTGTTGACTCACTTTGGGCGTCATTGAGATCGCCCGTAGATTTTGCCAACAACCGTTCTTGATTTCAGTACCTCAGCGGCCACTCGGCTATTACTATAGTAGCTTCTCGGTTTTGCACACGAACCGCATATTCTCCGTCCGAGTTGAGCTTGCGAAAGCTCCCTATTTTGCAGGGACCACACGCAACGTGCGCGATGTAAGGAACCCTACAGAGCGAATCGTTCTCGATCCTACCTCGACGCATTCACTTTAATTTGCGGGTGGAGTTGGTAGGGCGGTGTGACTGAGATAGTAATTTGTAATCATGTAGTCAGCGTTGTCATGTGCCTTGCGGCTCCTATTATAAAGTCTGTGTTCATTTAGGTGTTTTTTTTTACTAGATTCTTGGAATAATTGTGTTAATAGAATCGCTAAGTGTGATCTCATTTTGACCTTTAATTCGGAATTCTATCGAGAGCCATATATGTTTTGATTTTGTCATTCAATTTATTAGATGTTTTGGGGCCTAAAGCTTAGTGTATTATTAAAGGTTTTGTTTCATTTATGAAAAAAGTAAAGAAAATCTAAAATTTAAATACTGCTTTGGTATAGTTGGCGTAGGGTAAACCTAACCCTAACACTCACAAATTATTTTTCACCTCATCCCAGAACTCAACCTTCGCTTTAAAGTGAAAACTAATTTCATATCATTATGATACAAAAGGTGATATTTGGATATGTAAATAGTTACCTGTTTTTTAAATGCAAAATCAACTAGAACCACATGAATTTTTTTTCAACTTTTCATAAACGTGCTGATTTCGTTGATTTAAGCAAAATGAAAAATATCTTGTTTTATGCGTGTATTCACAAAACCAGTTCATTTTGCGCTTCTTCTACAAAAAGATAAACACACAGAACTTAAAATCGTGAATTAAAACAAAAACTTACGTGTAAAGATTGTTCTTTGGTTAACGTTCTCTGTTCTCTGGTTCTGTTGTTTTTTCAACGAATATATTCGTATTGCTGTTACATTTTAACGCAATTGCCAATCTCATGATCTTGATATTGTAATGTTGTAGTTTAAATGCTATTCGTTCAACGCTGCCATTTCTCTTGTATCATGTTCGCCGAAACAACAGATTGTCGATCACTGTGGAATTCATGTACTTTTTAATAGACAATATCACTTTACTTTCTTAGTTAGAGTCGCCCTTTCTACTTTCTCCTTATTTTGGTCCTAGTAGTTACGCTGTACCAACCAATATATATCATTTTGGCATTTGTGTCCTCGCCCTCAGGCTTTTCTTCATATATTTTCTTGTTCTTTCACGAACATTTTTATTTCAATCTCAGTTTATGTTTAGCTCATCGACATGTTTATATTTATAGAACAAGTCGTTTGTTTAGATCTGTTCGTTTGTAGATACTATTCATATATTCAGTATTATTTCTAAAAGAAACAGTTTAATTCTATGAGCACTACATTTATTTGCGCACAGTAACCACGGTATTACACACACATATTACATTTACGATGCAGATTATAGCCATATCTACAATATCAATATGTTTAAACTCGTGGAATTAGAGAGCTAAAACAAATATTCTACATAGTTGCGTAGCTTATATTTTAGGTAGAAAAGTATAGCAATAACGTTCTATTAACGTTATGAATTCATTTGATGGTATAGATCGCCACCCCACCCCTCAAATCTTGCCCTCATCCCACATCTGTATGGTATAATTGTACTATGTTTTGCATGATTTTAGAGCATCACCCCTTCCCTTTCCCCTTCCCCTCTCCCACTCCCCACGAACTAGATACATGTTGTCCATGTGATATTGTGATCGTGTAAAACCACCCTTCATGAACACCAATGCATTAAAACCATTTTGGCAACCCGCACATGCAACCCACCCTTACCCCTCAACACAGTGGTGTTTAGCTGTTAAGTGGATGTCTTCGGTGTTTCGTTAATTGATCAGTCAGTACAAATAACACTTGAAATTTTTACTTTTGACAATAACGTTCGTTTTTTTCCCGTCTTGTTAATCTTTATAATACAACTTGTTTTTCCCCGCTCTCTCCCTTTTGTTTCTTCAATGCTTACCCGATGATAAATGTTTCCTCCCATCCTTTGTTTGTTTGTTTCTATCTTAACCCCACTTACAACTTTCCTTCTATTATACGTTTATCTAACATTCTCCCCCAACCCTTTACATCACTAAACCCCGCCCTTCTTGTACACATCACGCCCTCCTTGTCAAATGACTATGGTAACCACCTCCCTGTGTATGTCTTGCCCCTCCTCCTTTGGTTTGTGTCCCTCCCCCTTTTCCAACTTGGATTACAACACGAAGCTGTCAAGTGGACATGTTCAAAAGCGATGCACATTTCGTGTTCAACAGTAAGGGGTCGACGAGGTTAGCATTAAAGAATGGTTTCCTATTTTTTTTCTCATCCATTTATGTGTGAAGAATGAATTTTTTTCTTCCATATTTCGCTTTCTCTTTCTGGCTTCGGGTTTCTGTATATCATTGCTGCTTTAATTTTTCTTCCTACAACTTGCCTCTAATTCTGACGGTAACTATTTAAGAAGTTAAGTTACAGAATACATTGCAGACAAGCATCGGTTCTAAGGCTACACAACTCAAAATTGTAACTAATGTACAATTCAAGAAGATGCGTTACACCAACGATGTACACATTGTTTAAGAAGGGACGTTGATATTTAATGAAGTTCATTAAAAACGTTGGTCTTAATTCAACAAATATTAAAAACAAAAATGTAAACAAAAAACGGGGTCAGCAAACTTAAGTATGCAACCTTTAAGCTCTTTTGGTACTGACCTACAATTAGAATGCAGATGAACTACTAAACTAATTATAAATTATCAATTTTACTTAAGAGCATCAAAGCTTCAGTTCCTTGTTTTTAAAACCATTTCCTCGATTTAAAAATAAACAATTCGATATTTTTTATCAAGAACTTTAGATAAACGACTCAGTTTAGAAACGACTCAGTTTAGAGGCAAGTTTCATTGCATGCACATAATGGTGATTGATTGTAATTAAGCTGATGGCTACCATACGAAGCGCTTTCTAATCTTACTGGAAGACATCATCACACATATTAGTTTATTCTTCTGGTAGTTTGCTATACTTCATAATGACTTTTCTTTTCGGAGCATGAGCTTCTTTGGCAACTTGTTTACAATCTTGCTGCATAACTGCTTGTCATGACCTTTTATTCTCTTCTATGGAAAAGTTTCCGTAACTTAGTTCATTCTCTGTAGATAGATAATCAGTAGACTTAGTAGTAAATATTTATTCATCATTCAATGTACTTAAAATGTTTTTGAAATTCGTTGCAGGGGAGCTGAAGTATACACTATTAAATATCAACTCATGTGAAATAATGAGACATTCTATAATTTAAGTTCTTTATTTCCCTCTACACAAAATGGTATTTTTGTAATACTTTTGCTAAGGTATCACTATGACTAGGTGAATATACATCAATCTTAACAGCTACAGCTATAGATATTATTTGTTTACATTACAATGAATCTACGTCAAGGTAAATGTTCAGTAGAAGTATTTCTCCCAATGCCGTTCCATTCTATTAACACGTTCCGAAAATCAACATGTTGTAAATGAGAATGACATTTACTGCAAATTCAAAATCATCATCATGCACAACCTCAATGGACTACTATACGAATATATGACATCCATCGTACATTGTCGATATATACCATTTTCCCAACATTTGGATACAGACATGTGTACAAATAAAGATCATTGGAAATGAAAGGTACTGTGGCATAAATTGATCTTTGTTGTAAACTCTTGAAGCATTGTGTTCATGCTTTTGTGCATGGTCAAATCAAAGTTGAAAAGCAGTTTTCATTTGACTCGAAGAAACAGCCCATATGAATGTTTGCTCTTCAGATTTTCGTCATAAATCATCTTTTTGCGTTTTTCCTTTTCAACCGACAGTATAGTATGTAATTATTTTTCATATTTGGCTAGTCATGACTCTCATAAGATAAGGAAATATTCAACCTAGATATCTTGTGGATAATTCTTTCCCATTCTGTCCTATTAAAACAAAAGATAGTTTGTATACGGATCTGATTTTACTATGGAGATACAATATCATAAATCTATTGTAAATAGGAAAAAGTAATTGCTCCAATCATTGAAATGAAAGTCTCTGATGATTCTTAATTAGGAAGAAGATAACGGTTTTTGATCAGATCTATATTCTTTAGCCGCCCCCCCCCCACAAAAAAAAAAATTAAAAAAAAATCGTATTTTCATCATTAGCTTCATTAGTCCATACAGTCAAAATCAAATGTATTGTAATTATTATTATTATTTTTTTGTCTCTGCTTCGTTTTAAATAGCCAAAGTATGATCTTGCTTTGTTATTATTCTCATTGATCTATTGATTTATTTATTTATCTACTTATTTTTACATCGGTTGTGGCTACCATTTGTGTTTGTTATCATTTTTATTTATCATGCTCATTATTGCCTTCATATTATGCTTCTTCTATCGCATATCATATCAATTTGGCTATCTACTCTGCAAGCTTCTAGACAGGCCTATTCAGTAGCCGCTTAACTAATACCTAGGTTGCGGGCAAACTCTCATTTAGAATACGACAGTATCAAATAGACTTTCAACTAACTTGCGCTTCTTAGATTATTTAATTTTCTTAGCATAGGCCGATATTATGCTTACAACTATCATAATCCATATACTTTTCGTAGATATTGATTATTATTGAAATGTACGTTACAGGTGAGTAAATTTATTTGATTTCAGTTCCTCTCACGGTATTCTATGTCATAACCAAAATATGTATATACGTACAACTGGAAAAACTTCCCAGAAATTGCCTGTAAAGTATAATTAGATTAAAGTCGATATTTCCAAAGATAGACATGAAATTCTAATGTTCCTGGTCATGAGGCTCTTTTAAGCTTTTAAATTTATTTTAAATTCATCTTCTATCATCTAAACATCATATTGAACATCCTTACGAATATTTCCGATGTCTACCCCCCCCCCCTAAAAAAATAAAACCCGGACAATAACAACGCCAAGAAAAAGAAGAATAAATAACTTTCATTGAGCATTTTTGTAAGAGGAGTTGTGTCAAACTCAAAGACGAAAGCCTAAATCGATTATTAATTGTTGGCACTTCCTATTGGATTAAAGTTTCAGAGATAATAAGTCTTAATATAAGGCTGTATATAATTATACTTTTTTTATGAGTTAATATATCTTATGGGAGTTGAAATCCTTAAAGTATTAATGAACGATGTATCGTATTAAAATGTGGTCCAACGGACTAAAAATGTCAGTGTGTGCAGTAATACCGCTTTATGACTTGTAAATAAATGGTATTAGGTATACATTTTGGCATTTGTGGAGACTACGTTCATTTTCATACCGCAGTGTGTAAATTTTTCATCAATTTCTGACGAAATGCAGATTTTTTTTTATTATGAGGGTCATTGGACTATGGGTTCGGTTGATTGTCGAATCCGTAGAATTACCTGGGTTCGTTCTGACTCAGTTGTTACTCTTCTCATTTGGTAATTTCGAGTCAGTTTGTGATTTTAATCCGACTAATCTTCTTTCCTTCCCTCGCGATGTTCGAGCAGCGACGACGGTGCGCAAGCCGCTCCTGCCGTGGACATGCCGGTGGACGAGGTGTTCACGCTCCCGTCACACGAGTACATTCAATCGTTATACTGGGCTGCGGCAACGATGACATCTACGGGCTACGGAGACATCAGCGCGCATTCGACCATCGGCCGCGCCATCGCCCTGGCTGCGATGCTCGTGGGACTCCTCCTCTACGGCTACTGCCTGTCCTCCATCGCTGCTACGCTGGCAAACTCTGATGCCCCAAGGTTAGTGATGAGTAGCATTAAATGGTGATGACTTTTTTTCATGTATTCTTTAACTATGGTGTACAGGCGAGGATTTATAATCATGATCTTTTTCATTTTTGTAAACAAATCGGACAAAATACATTTCAATATTGAATACTTTCAGGAGAAAAAAAAGATAATCCAAACATTAAAAGAGACAAAAATTCCTGAGCTTAGTTTGAACTACAGAAACAAGCAAATAAAAATATTTTTTATTTCAACCTGTTGTTGTTAATAATTGTAGTATAGACCCCTAGGGTAACATTTTTAATCAATTCTATTTTTATATGTTTCTTTATTTTGTATATGTTGCTTTGATTGATTTAATTGTCAAGTACTTTTAGGTTCTATCGTTCTAAAAGGAAAAAATGCAGTGCAATCAAAGCATCTGACAGGCAATGGATTAACATTTCCATGCTGTACTACTACTGGTTCTAAAAGCAAGAGTTAAATTATTTGACTAAATTAGAAAGAGCTCAATTTGTTCCTGAAATTCAAAATGTGAATGTAAATTGTGAAGGTGTGATTTGGTCAATAACTGATTAAAAAGAATCATTTGTGACAAATTCATTTAAACCTGATAAACTATAAAGATATATATAGAAGAACTGGAAGAATACCTGTCTAGATCCTTCCATCGTTTTTTAATTGCTTTCTACAGAGTGGGTTTCCAGGAGAAGCTGTTTGCCGCTCAGGATTTCATGAAGAAACACAACCTGACTCCAGATCTTCAACAGAGGGTGGTCAACTATCTCAGTCTGGTCTTCAGAAGACACAGGTATGTTTGCTTAAAAAATGCTCATGCGTGGGTATATATAGTCCTTCGTGAAGTAGGCAACTTGGCGAACACTGAGCCAAAAGGTATTATGCTCCTGTACGGACGTACGCACAAAGGGATACTAGTATGTGCATGCACGGGAGCGTAATACCCATTGGCTCAGTGTGCTGCCCTCTTTTTACCCATGCATAAATCACTTTAAAAGAGAGAAGGTCATCAGTTTCCAAGAGTAAAAGATCATCATTTGCTGACACCAGACTTGGTGGCCATACCATTAATGATTTTACAAGTCTTGCACACAGCTAACCCATAGCCCCAGTTTCTCAGAGAGTCTTCGGGTGACAAAAATGTAAGCAATGTTTTTTTTTCCATCTTGGGGATTGGTGGAAAATGTAGACCATTACATACATGATAAGGCCTGTTAGTCATATTGAAAAACCGAAGGTTAGTCGTGGTGATTGACAACACCTGTTAATAAGTGTTATTGGGTAAACACCTGGGCCCGTATTCAATAAACTTCTAAGACATTTTTCTTAAGTCTAAGAAAATGTCTAAGAATTTGTCTAGGTTAAGAAAGTTGCCTTAGCCGTATTCTAAACACGTAAAGCAGTTTGTCTTAGCTAAGACGAAAGATAAGACAAATTCTTAGACCCGATGACGTCATGTGGGAAAGTTGATGTGGTCGACTCGAGCGAATTAATTGCAACTCGATTTGCCTATGTAATTTGCGTGTTAAAATAAAAATCGCACCGCACGAAAATTATACACTAACATGTATGGGAGAGCGTAAGGGAGGAACGATGCTCACATAATTATTTCGGGATTGACCAACTGACACTAACGGTCTAGTCAAGACCACCTGAGGCTAGATCTAACATCCACTGTAGGCTTTTTATACTTTTCTGTCAAACAACTCCGAGGAGCCCAACCGGGCTTACTTATTATGTCGCAGCCGCAGGGTCTGTGAGTATGAAGGGAGCGCCGTCGCTAGCCGGCCGACCAGCGCTAGCATTGGATTTGGAGCTAGACCTACGTACCCTTTCATTGTTTTACATCGTCTACTGTTATGATGGCCTATCTATCTATCTATCAGGCTATAGTTCATCCAGACGTTGGACAAAGCCCTCCTCATGAAATTTCCATTCTCTTCTGTCTCTAGCTGTCCTGGTCCAAGCGGCCGTTCCTATGTATGATGTTAGGTCATCTCTCCATCTTCTCTTCTGCCTTCCTCATCTTCTCTTTCCCACCCTTGGTTGCCATTCTGTTAAACGATTTGTCCATCTATTGTCCTGCAGCCTTGCTACATGCCCAGCCCATCTCCACTTTGATTCTCTTACTTTCTTCATGATGTCTTTAACCTTTGTTTTCTGGCGTATGACTTTGTGGTTGATTTTGTCTCGCAGAGATAAATGCGACATCTTTCTCTCCATAGCTCTTTGAGTAGTCACAAGCTTCTGTTCTAGATCCTTTGTCAATGACCATGTTTCTGATCCATATGTCATAGTTGTTAGAATGCATTGGTTGAACATTCTTCTTCTTAGGCGAGGCGTCAAAAATAAATATACCAGCCAGCGGCAGCTAACTGCACTTGTGCGTCCTGGCTGCATTTTTTAAATTAGCTCAGCCGGCTACCGCTGGCGGTAGGACCCTCAATTAACTCATGATGTCACCATAATGGTCTCCGAACAAAAGCATGCGCCGGCTGCCGCCTTTCGAATGGAAACCGAGCCTCAGATCCCAGCCTGGCGCAAGCCGGCTGGGCTAATAAGTGAAAAATAATTGCCCCAGCCAGGCTTCGGCCGTAATTGCAGCCTCGATGCGCCAATACGTGAGGCGGCAGCCTGCTGGTATCGATATTTTTGACGCCTCGCCTTAGTGACATGGGTATGTTTTTATCGGTCAACATGTCTTTGTATCTTCCAAAGTTCATCCATCCTGCTTTTACTCTCATCATAACTTCTTCTTTTGTGGTGTCCTCCATTTTCAAAGTTTGTCCCAGATACTTGTAACTGCTCACTCTCTCTAACGTTCGACCTTCTATCTCGATGTTTTCATCTGTGTCATAATTAGTCATATATTTAGTTTTCTCTTTGTGCATAGTTAGGCCAATACGTTTGCTCTCCCTATTGAGACCTGTCAGCTGGTCTTCCAAGTCTTTGGTTGATGTTGAGATCAAGGCCACATCATCAGCAAATCTTAGATCAGTAAGCGTTTCCCCATCAATGTTTATTCCTCCATTTAAATGCGACTTTTTAAATACTTCCTCTATAGTGGCTGTGAATATCTTTGGAGATAATGTGTCTCCCTGTCGGACTCCCCTCTGGATCTTGACCTCCTTTGATACATCATTATCAATGTGAATTCTGGCTACTGCGTTGGTGTAAATATCTTCCAGGATGCGCACATACCCTTCTTCAATGTTAATCTTTCGTAGGGCATCAAACATGTCTGTGTGTTCGATGGAATCAAATGCCTTCTGGTAGTCTACGAATCCGAGGCATAGTTGAAGTTGGTACTCATTTGCTTTCTCAATTAGTTGATTTATAGCTTGTAGGTGGTCTGTTGTTGAGAATCCAGCTCTAAACCCTGCTTGTTCTCTGGGTTGATTTGAGTCCAATCTATCTTTGATTCTATTTTGGATTACTTTGGTGAAGATCTTGTACAGATGAGATAGAAGGCTGATAGGTGATAGTTTTTGACATCAGCTTTGTCACCTTTCTTGTATAAAAGAATTATTTTTGCCTCTTTCCAAGTGGTTGGAATCTGTTGCTTTTCCAATATCTGGTTGAATAGTTTAAATAGTTGAATAGTGATGGCCTAAAATTAATCAAATGGCTAGATGTAACCTTTATCAGACTCATACTATAACAAATTCTCACCTAATATTATGCCGATTGCACATTATTCCCTGTTTCCATACTTTAGCGCCAAAGACTAATAAAGTAAGAGATGGTTTCTTTATATACGACAGCCATGTCATGATTTAGTGTTATGCATGTATGCTACTACTCGTTTAGTTAACAAACATACATAATTAGTACAAGTACACAGAGCCTATGCGCTCCTGCGCGCTGCGCCGTCGACGCTGTATTACGCGAAGCTTACGTTGTTATATAGGTCAACTGATAACCTGCGCTCGCGCTGCATGCATTGTTTTTATTCCATTTGATCGAAACCCGAAGCGGTTGCTTGCAGCATCACTGAGCTGCCGGTGCCAAAGCCCCATTTAAGCATCCTCGTAGTATGCTTAAATATAGGGTAGATTTCTTACTTATCTTAGATATCTCGATTGTATTAGAATACGACATGCTACTTAAGTCCTTTTTCTTAGATAAAATCTAAGAATCCTTCTTAATCTTAAGGCAAATTTCTTAAGTCCCCATTGCTGTTATAGAATACGATTTTTGGCTAAGATTTTTTCTTAGCCAAAATTTAAGAAAAAGTACTTAGATTTCAAGCTTTAGAAGTTTATTGAATACGGGCCCTGAGCCCCCTAGCTACTATGTGTTGACATGTAATCAATTCATCAATAGTAATTCCATTCGAGCCATTTCAAGTTTAACAATATTATGTAGCATTGGAAATCAAAAGCTGCATCAAATGTCTTGTGCATGCCTGTTTTGACAAGGTATATTTCATTCTACCAAAATGGAAAAAAAAATCCTTACTTTTTGTATGGAAGGTATTCAAGAATTGATCTTATTTGACGCCCTGCCAGCCCTCCACTATAGATTTTTTTCTTTGGCCCTAATTTTGGTACAAATTGATCATTGCTCTTTTCATGATTATTGAGTAAAACCATTTCTTACCCCGGCCTGCATACTTGTTATTTCCTTGACAGAGGAGAAGCTATCCCTGGTGGAGAGCGTGTCATGCATGACATGCCCATTCAGCTCCAGCAGGACATCGCCTACCAGGATGTACATGAGACACTCAGCAAGGTAATAGCTAGTCCAGGGCCTTGTTTCATAAAACTCATTATCATTAACAAATGCTGAAATTCTATGACAAATTTGCTCTCAGCCAATCAAATCCCACAATTTCAGTAGCTTATAACATTCCCTGTAATTGGTTAATGGTAACAAGTTTTATGAAACAGGACCCAGATTCTGTCCCGTTTTTAAAATATTTTTTGTCCTTCACTCATCTATGTTGTCCTTTATACACATCACAAAACCCACACAGATTGCGCTTTTCCCCAAAATATCCCTGCCACTAGCGAGGGTAAGAATGAAAGGCAAGGACTGTCTCTATTTTAGCGTTGAGGGTGTGTTATTTCCTCAGCTGAATGGGCGCGCGACACAGAAATTGTCCAGGCAATGGACTAGATAATAGCCCCCTTTACAATGCTGCAGATGATATGTGAACCTCTGAAATTCTAATTCTTGTTTTCACACTTTGTGACTAGAGATTTTTTTTTTTTTTCTTAAGCTAAAAAAGAAACAGAAAAGGGGAAAATAAAAACGGGGTTGATATTTGTCTTGTGTGTGTTGTTTCACAGGTGTCATCGTTTCTTAATTCCTGCACATGTCTTTGGTCTGAAGCTACATGTCTTTAATAGTTCTGATATATGTTTGGATATTTGATGGTGCTCTGAGGGTCTATGTACCAATATTTACCAATGATGTTTGTCTTCTTTGAGTTGACTCCCTTTTGGCTCCAAACATAAGACGAGACAACTTGAGGGGTGGATTTAACACAGTACGTAAAGCAATCCAATGATCATGACGTGCTTAATGTTCGCTTTTTTTTGTTGTAGGTGCCACTGTTCAAGGAGTGTGACTCTAACTTCTTGCGCATGCTTGCACTGAAGCTCCATGTGTTCATCTTCATGCCTGGTGATGTTATCGTATATCAGGGGGATATGGGTCGCGAGATGTACTTCATCAGAAGAGGTACCTGTGAGGTAAGCCAACCAAGAACTCAATTTAGAATTTATCATAATTTAAGTAACAATAAACACCTAAATGATGACTGATTTTGCTCTAGTAAGCAAAATCATTAGACAAACTTTAAAGGGGGCTCTGATGGACAACTGTAAATGAAATGAGACGTATCCAAATCACTGTGATGAAATCTCACTGACTGCAACAAATCTTGAAAGAGCTCCTGTAAAAACAGAAATCATGTTTAGAACTTGAAGCTACATGCAGGATGTACATGCAGCTTATCAGAAGATCTGAGGTGAGCCTACCTAGAACTCAATTTTCGTTTAACCATGTCAGTTCCCTTGCTCTTCAGCAGTGTTTTGGTGTAACTACTACAATGCGCCCTGAGCCCTAACGTAATATGCTGTTTGATAAATTAGTTCTTGTTTCTGTCCATACTCATGCCATGGATATTTCCAATATATGAGCAACATGAATCTTGCCATTACATGTGAAAAGTTGTAAAAACCTTCATTTCCAATATTGTTACTATTTATCCGTGTTGCCTTGTTCCATTTCCCTGCTCTTCCTACCCAGGTTTTGTCAAAAGATGGCAACCTCTTGATGAGCAACATTAAATCTTTCTAGCACTTTAACTAGGTTATACAAACTTCTCTTTAACCGAATACATGCTTTCTTGTCACATTTTCCGCCCAGGTTTTGTCCAAAGACGGCAATCATGTGATGAGCAACATTGGACCTGGCCAGTACTTTGGCGAGGTTGGCCTAATCTTTGGGGATTACCGCACGGCCACCGTGCGTGCAGCATCATACTGTGAATTGTTGATGCTGAAGCGAGTGGATCTCGACCGGGTGCTCAAGTTCTTCCCTCTGATTGAGAAGTAAGTTTAAAGGCATCGTTTAACAATATAATGTTAAATATGAGATGCATGGCTCTACATGTAATCAGTGTCTGTGATATGGTGTAATATCGGAGCCCCAAACAAATTGCTCTTCAAAATGATGATGAAGTGCCTCATGAAGTAAAAAATCTTTGAGTGATTGGTTTTCCCATACTCATTTTCCCTAATACACTGTAGTGTTATACCAATGAAATTTTGATTTCCAATCATAAATATCTTGATAATCAGACAGGCTATTGGCAAGTTGTAAAAGTCTTGGGATTCCCGACTGACCTAAATGTTTATAATTATGATTAAGGCTTTGTTTCAGAATCTGAGGCAATGTTACTGAGTAAATGTAAGGGTTTCTGTCTGGTATCATTTTTCTAGAGATGATTACTCCAGGCTTTAAATTGTCAAAAAATAGAAAGTTTGGCTTACGGTTATGATTTGGTTTCATGTTTGCTTCAGGTATAGTGCTAGATCCAGGGGTGAAGTTTGGATTTTTTTGAGTGAAAGAAATAACTGGAGCAATCGTCTCATTAGTATCTGTTATACAACCCACAATAATAATAATATATTGTTATAAATATGTCCTGTTTACCAAGGATAGCCTTGCCACTATTCCTACTGTTCTACTGTTCTGAGGGCTTGGCAATCACATCATTACCCCGGCTCTACCCGAGCTACCATGAAAAGGTGCTCAAGCATTCAAGGAATTTCTTCCTACCGGGTACCCATTTACCTCACCTGGGTGCAAAGCACCATTGTATATAAGTCTTGGCTATACCTTGATATTATATTTTCCTCCTTGTGATAATTAATGCTAGTCTAAACAAATCCTGGATCACTCATTTGTCTATTTTGTGTCTATTCTTTGTGTGTTTACAGGCAATTCTCAGATGCAGCAAGGAACCAAGGCCATCTGAGAGAGCTGAGAGATGCATCCAAAGTAGACAAGAAACCAGTTGAATTCAGTAAGTCAACATCTAGGGGTGCGTTCAAGCAATTTTTAGAAGCTAGACTCACAAACATTAATCACATATCAAAATGCCGTTAAAAACATGGTTACTGCGGGAGAGCGTTCAAGTGTATGTACTACGTAGCCTCATCGTTTGTAACAATGTTTTTAGCTAATAGTTTACTAACTTATAATGAATATTTGTTAAAGTTGTTTACACAACTTTGTTTTCAAACCTTAGTTTGAGGGCTTACAAATTTTGATAGGAAAGCTCCATTTACTTTTTCGGAAAACTGAAACAAGAAAAATTTCATGGCAAAGCAAGAATAAATCATTTGCGACAAAAGGCCAGCCAATGTCATAGGATTTATAAATCTGGACATGTGTTACAAAGAGTTGATATCAATCTCAACTTATTTGCAATTGATATCAATCTACTTATATAAGAGATAGGAGACTGCAAACTTGCGATTGATTGGAGGACTTCCAATTGAATTGGATCAATCCTAACTCTTTGTAAGGCAGGGCCCAGATCATAACTATTGTGATGTTGTTGTTGACAGCTCCTGGTACTGTGTTGGAGCCAGAGGATGATGAGGATTCCGAGGACATGTCTCTCTACCCTGCAGCCACCTCTCTCAGACCCGTAGATATCTCCATCAAGATCTTTGACAAGTAAGTCTCAAGTGTCAATTTTCATTTAAATACATAAGCAGACAAATGTATGACATCACATAACATGAATTATACAAAGTGAGGAAGGCAGTGGCTGAAAAAGAAACACACCTTGTAAGAGGATAACCCGTTAAGAAAACAAGATACAATATGATACAATATGTAACATAAAAACACATAAAAAAGGATCACCAAGAAAGATAAGAAATGAAGTACCTAACCTAAAAAACTAATAACTCTTCCTAATCACTCCTTGAATGCACTCTTTACCGTTGGTGGCATCTCTCTGTATTGTAAGCTGTATGGTTACCATGGGCAGAGTTGTAACCAGCCTGAATATTTAGTCTTATACAGCTCTTAAGCGGGACTGCACTACTTGTAGCTACTTGTGCCCTCTATATACCAAACAATGCCTAAGCGGTACTTGTTGGTTCCCCATGATCCCCCTTTTCGTATGTTAGTTGAGAGCTGATTTGATGAATTAACCACCTGTCAATGATCCTGGCCAATCTAGTGCAGACAGGCTTTAACATTCCGAAATGGTTCAATGACCTTAACATCTGGTGTCGAAGAAGTCCTTTCATATGGATAAATGAATGACAAGAGATGGTATCGTAATTGAAAACTTCTCTCACAAATACGTTTATCGTTATAATCATGATTTCTGATGTTTAATAATGTACTGATATCTATATGCGTCTCTTCTGTGCAGGAAAAGTGAGGATTTCCAGGAGCCATTCCAGGAAATAAGTCTGCTGAGTCGTCTCTTTGCCAAACTTCTCATGAGGTATAAAAATACCCTGCTCCTTTCATCAATGGAAGGAACGGATACCCCATGTTATGCCCAGTCATCAAAATACTCATACTATTTATACTCTTGGGATTATTATAATGATTATATTCAAGATTTTCATTATGTCTCCTGTCTGGAGCTAGAAGGGCATTAACTCTGTGTTAAAGTATATGAGTTAATGCCCTAATGGTTGTAAACATATATATATATTCATGGCAAGCATCGGTGATCTAAGTACTAACCATTAAGATTGTAAATAATGTTATTTATATTGTTTAGCATTTAGTAATGAAAGGACAGGGGATGGTGTCACAGAAGCACAAGAGTTCTTGATTTGAAACAAAACAAAACAATTGTTTGTGTCAATCTAACAAACAATATACCAAAGATGATAATAATTATATTAATTATAATAATGATATTGATAATGTTAATAAATTGATAATAATGCTGATAATAGTACTCCTACTACTACTAATAATGATAATAATAATAATTTAATAAAAATAATAATAATGAAATAAGGAGAATAATAAAGATGTCAATATTAAATTCAATTAAGGAACTGTTGATACTCTATATCTGTGTTTCTTTATTTTGTCATTGCATTTATAGCTTACTGGGTATATGAATCGTTATCACAATGTACTTGTATGCCTCGTTTAGTTCAATGTTATATAATATATAGATATAAGCTCTAGATTTGTATTTCTATTATTTTTTCTCATCAACCTAACTAGTCGTGCTTTCATCCCGAATGGAACATGCTTCAAGCGTTGGGAAGCGATCCGTGTTGCTGTGGCAATCCTGGCTGCCTTCACGGTAACCCTTCAAGCGGCTTTCCTTCACATGAACATCGGACTTTGGGTCGTCACCTACGGCCTAGATTTCATCTGCTTCGTTGACATGTAAGAACTGCAAATAATTTGTTACCAATACTAGTAAAACCTAATTAGTTTCAAATTATGTTGACTAGAATTAATTACTAACTTCTATTCCAAGAAATAAACTTTTCCTTCATCAATCTGCTCCATTGACAGATTGTGAGCCCTCAGCAGACTCCGCTCAGCTTTGACCTATTTTACATTAGCATACGCATATTTTGCAAAACCATTGTCCATTAGCCTATTCAGCATCAGCAAAAATATACTATCACATATGTGGTTGTTTTACTATCACTATGACTGTCAAGTTATGCAATCTATCATTTTTCATTTTGAAGTTATTTAGACCAATCATGTTGCTAGATTTTTGCTTTGTGAGATATAATTTGTTCTATAACTTACACTTACCTAAACTGATTCGAGCTTGGTATGACAACTTCTTTGTTTCATTGAACAGGTACCTGAAGTTCCACACTGCATTCTACAATGAGAGCAACGTGCTAGTCACTCATCCATTGTCAACTGCTAAGCACTATCTGAGGTAAGCAGTACCATGTCATGTCGTGTGCTAACATCATTATCAAGCATATTCTTTATCATTTGTATCATCATACAGCATCTTAGAAAGAATACAATGAAGGGGAATAACATCAAAAGTCTTTTTTGAATCTCAGAAAACACCACCAGTTATTTGACCTGTATTCATGTCATCTAATAAATATTCTACCATATTCTCTCTGTGACACAAGTTGTTGTTGAGTATAATAACCATTAAACCTGATTGTTGATATGACAGCATATAAATAATTGCCTATGCACTGCCTTTTCTAATATTTTAGACAACCGTGGGAAAATTGATATTGGTCAAAGATTTCCAATTTCCCCCCTTTATGAATAGGAGTGATTCTTGCTCTCATCAAATCTGCAGGAATTTTCAATGTCTTTTATACCGAATGGCAGTATTGATGGAAGGGAGGATGAAATCTCCTGATCATGAATGAGAAAAAATACAGTTTATTGTAAAAAGTCGCTAAGAAATTTACAACATGTCTGTATCATGAATTACATCATCTGTTTTGATCCAGAAGGGCATAGATTCATAGATTTGTACACAAAACATCACACCTTCTGGCTCCGAACAGACGGTAGGTATGTTGAACCTTTTTTGGTGGACTTATTACACATTTCCAGCTTGTGAACAGCCAATTCTTTTATGCAATCGATTTAATATGATAATAACTCATGATATTTCTCTCATTTTCTCAAAGAACCAATTTCCTGATTGACGTCCTTGCTTGCTTCCCAACCGAGCTGATAGCTTACGCATTGATTGGAAATTTCTCTCGTAAGTATAAGAAAAGTAACCTTGTTCACTTTCTATTTTTCCCTGAAGTTGATTTAAATGTCATTATGGATTGTAGTTTTCTCTTTTAAATACACAACAAATTTACCATGTTCACGTTTCATTCTTCCCTCTACTGTAAAGTTCAATTTTATGTCATCATTACAAAAATGAAATAGGATCAATAAACTATAAATCATAGTGGAATGCTCACAATGAATCACCATAAGTACATGAGTTCATGAAGTAAGTTTCATTGTCATTTTTAAGTGATATGTTTGAATTCATCATTATTAGCTTGAGAACAACATCAGACAAAATTAATGTATATTTAAATGCTATCTGTTTCAGTTGTTTAGTGTGAAAAACTCTCTAAAAAAAGCTCTCATGGCACATTTCTTATTTCATTGTCCTGTCGTTATGTTCTTGTATCGCAGAGGAAGCTATTCATGTCTATGCCTTGGTGAGAATCAACAGGCTTCTGCAGCTATACAGAGTGGTAAGTACTTTGCTAATGATGTACGACCACCATTTTGTATGTAGATATTATGAAGAGATGTAGTAATTTTTGTTGAATACCATGTACTTCTTGTATCTATCTTTCAGCCACTTGCTTTCAACTACTTGGAGTCCGATGTCCAGAATTTGACAGGAAACATCAGGTAAGAAAAAGCCAGAAACACTTGATTTCAACATGGTTTATTATCTCCCATGATAGATAAGCTTGACAAGAAAAAGAATTTTCAAAGAATTATACAAAATTGTCACGGAATGGTCAAGACTACACATTTTATCTATCAATAATTTTTGAAAAAACACTTTTTGAGCATCATTTTTCCATTGGCAAACCAGTACTAAAAGAACCTGTCGCTATAACAAATCTACCTGCCAATAAAGACAGTTTTCCTTGTTCATTTGAGTGGTCACTTAATCCTGTTTATAAAGGCCACACATTGGAAACAAAATCGACCACTGCAGAGAGGTACCCTTTATAGAGAAGACCGGATTGACTGAAAATTTGATCATAATCAGAACTTAACAATTCCCTTCATTGCCTTCCGTTTGTTCTTTCCCTTTTGTCACAGAATGATGAAGTTCTTCTTCTACATGGTCCTATTCATTCACATGCTGGCGTGTATGTGGTACATGAATGCTTGTCCACCGGTCTTCAAGTATCCGATTACCGGCGAGACTTTCAACGGCTTCATCACCACCAACTTCCACCGCTGCAAGAACAACTCCTGGACGTCCAAAACGGACACAAGTTTCTGTGAGTTTCAATGCCATTTATAGCAGAAGCACAGTAATACTTAAGATAATTGATTTAAATCATTCATTCATTAATTTATTTATATGTGAACATAACAATGATAGTATGTAATCTTCAAAACAGGAACATATTAGATAAGATATCTGAAGTGGGATGATCATGAAAAACACATAAATGGCTTTATATATAAGACATTAAGAATTATCTGGAAAAACTCAAATTTTATGGCTTTCTAGAAAAGCAATTATCTCTATAAATATGTCAAGTCACAGGTAGTGTACTCATTTTATATGTTGTTTTTATTTTTGTTTTCTTTTACCATAATAGATGACCAACCAATTGCTGCCCAATATGTGACTAGTATGTACTGGGCCTCAGCCACCGGAGCCTCGGTAGGATACGGAGATATCCATGCCAACAGTGTCTCCGAGGTATGCTTACCTAATTTGGTGCTCTTGTGCTCAAAGTTAATGAGAAAATACCTGTATTATTAAGCAATTTTAATTCAGGTAGATTCTTTACAAGAGATAGCCAATGTGCATCATTCAGCTGCACATGATATCTCTGTATATTTCTTAGGGGAAAGGGGAGGGGGTCAGTTTGTTAGGGATTTCTTGTCTGCTTTTTTATAATCATTGTCATTAAATAGAGCAAAGAGCATGCAACAAAACCTTTTTCAACTCTTAACATTCAAATTATTTTTAATTTTGCTTTTTTCTTGCTTTAAAAAAAAAAATTATAATGAGTATTTACTTATGTCATTACATGTGAGCACAAAACCATTAATGCAATATAATCATACTTTAAAGGGACTTCTAACATTGTTCAGATGAGAGATAGTGGTGCTTAGGTAGTGACTTCAATGCTAGATGTACAATCAAAGATAATCTGAAAATTTGAGTGAAAACGGATCATTATTCGTGGTACAAATTGGGAAAAACTGATCTGATCGATTCCTTAATTCTCCCAACTATATTATTCTACTTCTATTCTGCTTCTTGTCAAAGCCTGTTCAGCATCAAGACAAGGACAATTGAATTACATTTTAGGTGAATGTAAATCGTCACAAAGCAATAAAATGGCTCTACATTCCATTCCAGACAGTTAAGTGTTGACAGATTTGTATAGCCTGTTTTATGTATTTTTCTCATGGAAAAACGGTTGGGAAAATTCAAAAATGGTTGGGAGAATTTACTATTAATCACTGGTAGAGGGTGCCTCACATCGACGCCTTCAAAGAAAACCATAGATATCTTTGTGGTTTGAGAATTTGTTCAGGATTTTTTGCATGTCAGAGGGTTAGTATAGTAGAAGGAATATAGTAAGTAACATTTTATACAAAATTAAGCAATTTTTTTCATCAACCTTCAACAATGTTACCGAGTCACTTTAAACATGGTCTAAATAAATATATATAATATTTTTTTCATAATTAGAATAGACTGGTACAAATGGATCATTCTCATACAGACATATATCACAATATAGTATACATGGACCAGGACAATGGATTTGCCAGGGAAGGGCATATCATTTAAACATAAAACATAAATTTGTACCGATATGGCTCATAGTTCAATGAGATGATATGTATGAGGTGATACACATTTCAAAAATATTAATTACATGTAAATAAATCAGATATAGGTGTCGTTTTTATGATATGAGAATAATGTGGCAAGTAACAAAGAGTATATTGAAGATTGTTTAATTTAAAGGATGACAAAGGCAAATTTTTCTTAAAACTTACATTTTGAATTTCTATCATTCTCATGGTATCTGCCAATGATTTTTCTTCTCAGATGATCTTGGCTCTCTTCTCCATGATCGTTGGTATTGTCTTTTTCGGGTACATCATAGCTAGCGTAGCAGCCAGTTTGGCCAACGCAGACGCCCAGAGAGCACGATACCAGGAGAAGCTTACTGCTATTGCAAGATACCTCAAGGTAAAGAAAGGGTGTTAAATTACATAGTAATGGTATTGGTCATGGTAATGGTATTGGTAATAGTCTTGCTAATGGTATCGGTAATAGTATATGTAACAATATTGGTAATGGTATTGATAAAGGAATTGGTAATGGGTTTGGTAATACATGGTAATGGTTTTTATTATAGTTTTTGCTAATGGTATTGGTAAAAGGAATTGGTAAAGGAATCGGTAGTGGTATCGGTTAAAGGAATTGGTAATGGTATTGGTACTGAGAATGGTATTAGTAATGGTATTTGGTAGTGATATCGGTAGAAGGAATTGGTAATGGTATTGGTACTGAGAATGGTATTAGTAATGGTATTTGGTAGTGATATCGGTAGAAGGAATTGGTAATGGTATTGGTACTGAGAATGGTATTAGTAATGGTATTGGTAGTGGTATCGGTAAAAGGAATTGGTAATGGTATTAGTAGTAATGGTATTGGTAATATTATTGGTAAAGGAATTGGTAATGGTATTGGTACTAGGATTGTTAATGGTAATAGTATTGTTAAAAGGAATTGGTAATGATACTGATAATGGTATTCAAAATGGTACTGGTAATGGCATTTTACACATACTTTCTCAGTAGACCCCTCCACATTTTTCCATTTTTGTTGTTATTCTAGATCTCAATCTGTTCATTATGCTTTGTATATTTTTCTTAAATCAATATAAACTTGAGTAATTTGTGGAATATATGAACTCAAAATGTTATTTGTTATATAGTATTCATCATTGTTACTAATAATTTATCTTCGAGTATCAGAGTATGATTCTTAAAACTTCCCATTTGTCCATTCTGCCCACATACAGGATCAGCGTGTAGAGAAATCCTTGGCCCAGCACGTTGACGTCTACTACAACTACATGTGGTTAAGGACCAAGGGTGTAGAACCAGACTCTCTCTTTGATGGACTTCCTCTAGCTCTCAAAGCCGATGTCTCCCTCAACCTCTATCAAGGGATCATCAACAAGGTATTAGATTACTCAACACTTTGAGTGCTGCAAAGTTCTCGCCGCAATAACATCCTGCCTCGATTGGATTTTAACAGAAATTGTACCTTTGTGAGCTAACACAAAAGCATGTATGATAGAGGCTTGTCCATATTTGTGGAAAAGCTTTGTCGTTTACCACATTTAAAAACAAAAGCGTTCTGTACGTCCCAAATTCTTATCTAATAACACATGGATAAGTGAGTACAGGTAAGGCATTTATTGCATCTAGCTATTCTTTTTGTTTATCTATAGCGGCTAAATAGGTGATTCATTAGTGATTAGTAATTTTCTAAAAAATAGAATTGAAGTTGCACTATATGAAGTTAAAAATGCATGGCTTAATTTTGAAATACTATCTGGTATCATAAGTGTATCTTGCGTAATGATGTAGGTGAGAACACTGATGTCATTGTGTGTTAGATGTTGTATAACTTTGTTTTCTTTCTGCATCTGCGATATGATAGGTACCGTTGTTCACGAACACAGAGATAGGCTTTCAAAAGATGTTGGCCATGTGTATCAAGCCAGTCTACTACCTCAACAGGGAATACATAGTACGCAAGCATGACTTTGGAAAAGAAGTAAGTAGAATTTCCAGCTCATCTTCGTCTTGAGATTATTCAATTCCTTTTTTTCTGATTTTCTATGTTTGCATATTTCCATTAGAAGGCTCATTTGTTTCATCTTGTTTTTCCTGAGATTAAGCATTTGAAAGATGAGATATATAACAAAAATATCAAAATAATTGAAGCTGAAACTTCAGGGTGGAAGTAGGGGGGGGGGGATGGAAAAAGAATTTAACAATAATTTCAACCCCTTGTTGGGGTTGAGGGCAATGTGGTTATTATAAGGCTAATAGTCAATAAAAGTAATTTATCTACTCTACTTTATTTTTGTTTAAATTACAAAAATTAAACTTGCACAACGATGGAGACATAATAGCCCAGGGTAGATGCAGGGCAAGGCCATGTGTAGGAACTAAGTTTAACATTTAAAGTGAGCTTAAGTTCCTGAATGTGGGATGAAGTGTACTATCTTCAAATACTGTTCACTGGTACAGCAGGCCTGTCTAAATTATTATAGAAGCATAATATGTAATAATCACACTCGTTTTCCATCCTTCCAGATGTTCTTTATACATCGTGGTCTCGTTGAGGTGGTCTCTGAAGACGGGTCAATCGTCTTTGATACGATGCAAGCTGGTAGATTCTTTGGTGAAATAAGTCTGGTCTTCAGTTGTCCAAGAACAGCCTCCATTAGGTATGGTGAACTATCCAGGCACAAACTTGTGTTAATCGTAACGCATTCCTCATAATCGTTTATAGTCTCAATTTATTTAGCTTATAAGTCATATTCATTTGGGACTGGCCGGAGCATATTTAAGATAGATGGGAAACTGTTGAGTTTGGTTTCAGAGAAGAATCTATTTTGGTAAGCTTGCCTTGCAGCAGCTGTTTTTCTGAATGTTGTGAATGGCATACTCTTCATGTAATACCTATCAGTTGCAATATTGAAATGCCGTTTGTTTAAATACCTAAATTATGTTGAATTTCCCTTGGAAACCCAAAATAATCTGACCTACAAAATGTGAAATGTAAAATGTTGCAAAGATGGGGAGAGAGGCGTGTCCTGTCAGCAGTTATGTATTTTGTTTTTGCTTTTACCCATCAGGGCCCAGAACAATGTGGACATGTTTGTGCTGAACAAGGAAGATTTAGACGAAGTACTGACCCACTACCCATCCATCAAGGACCAGATCAATAAGGTTGCAGAAGATAGGATCACTGCTGTACGCAAGAGAAGTGAGGCCAAGGTTGACCAGGCAGTGAGTCCTTGAACTTCTCTTTCTCAGAAACGGATTTGAAAGGCAATCCTCAATCCTTGTCTTCAATTGATTTATATCGATCGCAACAGAAAATTAATTGTGATTCTTTACTGAAGAGATGCCAATGCATTGTAAGTCAATTCTGATTCCCATTTCTATTGAATCAGGAAATAAGATAGTACCATACGCCATCGGGGGTTCGGCAGTCTTCCTCTTTTTACCATAAGTACCATTTTTTGATGATGTAGCCCTTCGAAACATTTGTCACTATGAAATATAATAATGTTGTATAGTGCTGTACCAAATGTATTTTTGATTGATGTTGAATGTGTGTCTTGTTTGTCTCAGAGCAATACCCCAAACAACAGCAATAACAACAGCATCAAGGGTAGTAGCTTCAACAGCATCGAGAAGTCTGAGAACTCCACAGCAAGCGCAAGCAGCAGCGGTCACCCATCATGCTCCTCCACAGCCGACAACGCCAGCAGCCAGACCAAACCGGAAGATGGACATTCCACCGGTACCGCTGCAGCCGCCAGCGATAACAGGAGCGAGCCTGAAAGCCCCAGCGTCAGCAGCACAGCAGCCACGACGCCAACGTCTACTGAACCACCACCTCCCAGTGCTGCCCCCATGAAGCCGGCCCGGCAGATCCCTCAGCCTAATGCCAACAACAATGCCAGCACTGGAGAAGGCAGTGGTAACAACAACAACCAAGGAGGAAATAATGGTGAGATTTTCTAGTCTGTTATTACTCAACCCATTTTGCAGCAATTCTGAATAAGAATGTGGATGTTTAATTAGTAGTTGAGCTTATAAATACCTTTAATTTTATTTTTCGAAAGAGAATATGTTTTTTACAGTGTGATATTTGTGTGATAAAAGTCAATTAAAGCCTTAACTTTTCAATAAAATGGAGAATTCATGCTTCAAGTTTCACAGTGTATTTATGATGGTGCTTTGCTTCATACCTCTTTGTACGATTATGTTAACAACTAAGAAAAATACGGATTGGTAATGTAATCTATTGATTCTAGAAGTTCAAATCATCTTCACAGCCTCAAACACGCAGTCTGACCCGTCAGCCCCTGATAGTTCCTCCTCCACGACCCACGTACCCACTCGCTACCCGATGCCCTTCTGCTGCATCAGACGGGACAAGAACTACCTAGAGGCACTTCTCCATGCCAACCGCTTCGTTCTGAACCCTGACAGCCCAGTGGTGCGGAACTTGGCCAGACTGACGTGCGTTCTGGCTGTAGCTACTTCGTGGACCATCATGTATCAGGTAATCTCTATTTTCCTTATGGTAACCTGGGTAGTTAACGTATCTGGGCCCTGTTCTATGGTCTTTAACTAAAGATTGTGGGCCCGGTGAGATCAAGAGTTATGATTTATCCACATTGCCTCTTAAGACATGGTCGAGGGCCCTGTTTTTTATGACAGATTTGCTCTTGGCCAATCAAATGCACTAGCTTATAGCAATTATTGTAACTAGTTAACAGGAAGAAGTTTGATAAAACGGGGCCCATCTTGATGTATACCTAGGCAGATTCTTTGTACATGTTCCTTCTCATAGGAGTATCATTTAAACACATTGCTGGTGAGGACAGTTTGGAATAATGAATTTAATTCACCCAGTCTTTATTTTGACAGATATTTCTTCAAGGCCTCCAATTGTGAATAGTACCTTTATCAATTCAGATCATTTCTTGATTTTTTTTTACATCACTATGATTACCAATAATTAAACTGTGATTTGCATCAAATCTCAATGCAATATTCCCTAAAATGATATTGTATTCTGTTTCCTTTTTTTTCTATGTAGGCATTCTACCAGGTTCAAAGCATGCCTTTCCTCATCTTCAGCTACGTCTGTGAATGTGTCTTCATCTTTGAGGTGAGTTCTTCCACCTTTCACAGGCTCCTAGAGCCTTCAATTCAGGATGTTATCTGTCCAATCAACTATTATTCTTCCTTTTTTTTCTTCTAGTGCATGCCTGCTTTGTTTACAAAAGGTCCAACAATTGAACATGTATGTAGATGAATCTACATCAGGTGTTCTATTAGGGGTTAGTATATTAGAAACTCAAGTAATTTCTACGATGCCCTTTTCCTTTAGATCTACATCAAGTTTCATGTCAGCAATGCGGACGAGTATGGTGCGCTCGAGAAAGACTTCGGCAAGATATACAAGAGCTACTTACGCAAGTGGAGCGGTTTTGCCCAGGACTTGATACCCACGCTTCCCATAGAGCTCTTTGCGTTCCTTGCCCAGGGGGACAAACAATTTGCAGTGCTGTCGTTCTTGCGGTTCCGTCAAGTTATACGTCTGATGCGTGTCTCTCAGTTCTTTGACAGATGGGAACAGGAACTCAATATCAAGTGAGTATGGTTAGAGGTTTCTGAAGGGTTTGTTTAATTCCTGCATCGTCAGTTTCATGTTTCATTTTTTGTGTACATATTTGTACACAAATATGAGATTAGTTTATGAGACTAATTTCACTACCCCATCTTCTCTTACCTTCAAAATCAAAAAAATTTTTTCCTTAAAAGTATATTACTAAAACTTCTATATATTTGATTTTAGATTGCCTTCGACAGCCATGTAGAAAAAACTGACATATGCTATCAAGCATGAGAATTTATTATTTTGTTTAAACACTGAACCGAAAATTTGAAGTATGACCCCTATATCAGAGCTGCCAACGTACATGTATCTCGTAAAAAATGTCAAAGTAAATACGACGGTACAATTTTGTTCTCAATAAAATATGATTAATAAATTTTTTTGATTCGTTTTTTTGTTGTGTGTGTGCCATTTTCAATGCCTAATATGTCCTGTAAAGTAGCCTACAAGCATCTTGCATCAGCAATTTGGGGATGTCCATTGGTTCATCGGACACACCAGTCATGACGAAATCATGCATATTAAACCAATGATCCATACAGAAATGTCTTCCTGTTTATAGGAACATATTGATATTGGCAACCCCCCTCCCCCTCAAACATAAAACAACAACAACAAAAAACGCATGTTCACTGTGAGAAAGTGCTTATCGATCAAAAAAAAAAGGGAGAAGAATAGGATTTTTGTTCAGTTGGGGTTGGCAGCTCTGGCTGAATTTAAGAGGCATTGATCCATGTTTCAGTCTGTGTTTTTTTTAAATACAATTTTTGTCAGTAAAATACAACTTTGGGGATTAAAGAATACAGTTTGTTGAACTCCAGAGGTTGGCAGGTCTGCTATATATAGATGCAATCTGTTGTTTTGGTGATTGGCGTTGACGTATTGTACACACATATATTTTCATAGTTATTCATGATTCTAGTAAAAATCTGGAGCCTATAGGAAAGTTTAATATATAATAATTTTCCAAAGCACTTACACACATTTATATCTGCAACTTTGTATTATAATGTTCATACAAATAGATTGAGTGAAACTCAAATCTGAATCTAACTTCTTTGTACTATATATATTTTTATTGCAGCATCTTGAAAGTGAGATTGACCAAGTTCCTGGTGTTACTACTGATCATCATTCATCTGTTTGCTAGCATCTGGTACACCATAGCATGTCCTCTGAGTAATTGCAAAAACGGCTCATGGGCTACTATGATGGGTAAGCTTTTGCCTCTTCTCTTCCTCTCCCCGTCTCTTTTGCTATTTTTCATTATTCTATCTCCCTCACTTTCTTTCTTCCCCTTCCTCTCTCTCTTTCTCCCTCTCACCCTCTCTGTCTCTCTACCCCTTTCTCATTTTCTCTCTCTCCTCTTCTTTCCTTTCAATTCCTTCCTCTATGTATACCTCCTCTCCTGCTATCTCTCTCTTTCCCTTTCCTACTCTCTCTCTCTCTCTTTTCTCTCTTGTTCTCTCCCCCTTCTCACTCAATCTATCAAAGGCTCTCTTTCTGTTGATAATTACCCAGAGTGTTTGGAAAAGTAGAAATTGGGCTTAACATTTGGGGGAAATTTGTTGTTGTTCATTGTATTGAATATGTTAAATACTTATGGCAGCGTTGTTTATTGACTACAAAATATATGCATTGTATAGGGTACCTTATCTTATTGAAATAAAGATGCATGAGAACTGATACCCGTAGTCCTTTTAAATTGAGCATAATGGGGATAGCAGAGATGCCAACCGTTACGGTTTCGCCGCATTTGTTACGGTTTTAATGCTCTTGTTACGGCGTTACGGGGAAACAATAAATAAAAGTACATTATAGTGAATGCCGTCTTATCACATAGCTTCTGTACACAGTGTTGCATGTCGCACGCATTTACTCATAAGTTCACTGAATTTGACTACACTGGATAGGCACTTTCGCGCACATGGTCCGTCTGCCGCCATATTGTTTAATTCCAAAACAACACGGCCGCCGTTATTACTGTTTTGATACTAGTATGCTACGTGAGGTCGTGCCTTTTTGGGGGAGCATGGTGGTACAAGTAGATGATCGTGCGCGCGGCGCCCGCAATACCCATTCATAGTATAGTAGCGAAGACTTCGGTGATTTAGCGGGCGTATTGCAAGTGCGGTATACGGTGTGTTGTTGTTCATGAACGCCGGGCCTAGCGGCCTGGGCTGGTGAGTGTATGTGTGCGTGTGTAGGATACGAGTTCTGCCATTTGACTTTGGATTTGAATTTGCCATTCGACGCTTGAACGAGGTGTTTTCTTCCTGAATACTATCATGGATTCACTCAAAAGAGCGAATACCCGAGGAGGAGATCCTTTGATGTGAAACAGATTTTTAAAAACGTTTTTATGCACATCTTTATTTTGGACTTAAAAATGGTAGGTTCGAAATGCAGTAATAGGCTAGGAATATTGTGTTTTGAGGTCAAACAAATTGCAATAAAATATTTTTCACTGCAATGCATTTTAGTAAGGTCCCCAAAATGACATACTAAAAGTCCAAAAAAATCCAAGTAGTGGAAGTGCCCCTAATTTGCATAAATCCAATATGACCGCTATTTCGAGGATTTTCACATATATTTTCACATATTTGTCAGCTTGTATAGGCTATTGTGGCACTGAAGGAGTAGGAAAAGTGATCTGCTGTACATTTTGCATCAAATAAAATACCCATATTCTACAGGTACATCACACACCTGAAACAAATCCCCCGCACACCCACACCCACACCCACACCCACACAATCCGACATGTAATTTATGCTCAATTTATTACCTTAGCAGATGATGTTTTTTCATTATGCACTAGACAAATATCATGTCATTTTATATTGAAACAACTAAAACAAAAATATAAGTTCAGAAAAACTGGCCGTTGTGAGTATTCGTACAAACACAAGAGCTGTTACAGGGTTATGTAGGGGTACAGCCCGTACCTTACACTATCCGTGTAGTGGACTAATTGTGTCTAATTTCCATAAATCCACAATGGCCGCCAATTCTAGGGTTTTCTCCTAGATTTGGTCAAAATATTCACCATACATACCTTTAAGCACACTTTTAGTGTACTTTTAAAGTCTAAAATGTTATTTCCAATAATTTTTTTGTTTGCATAAGGTTTCATATGCCCGGTTGAGTGTTTTAATTTGCTTAAATTCAAAATGGCTGCTAAATTAAACACTTTTGTAGAGAATTTATTATAATGATATTTTTTGTCTTATGTTACATTGAATACATTCAGACTAATTGCGACAACACTTACATGTATATAATGTTGTACAAATATATTTATATTTCAGTTGTTTCATAATTAGGTTTTTTAATTTGCATATATACACATACATTTTGTTAAAAGTGGGTTAATCAATTTTGTGTTGATTCTCACCTTACAATGCATTTCAGAGCAGCTATGTCTATGTTAGTTTACAATCCCAGTGCAATTGTTATTACAGGATGCAGGTCATGAGGCCTACAATTAAGTATACATATTCTAATTTGATTAGAGTTTGTAGTCTCCAACAAACAAACATTTATGTGGCATGCTGATCAGTAGTATCATCAAGTTCTAGGTAGGCCTATAATGGTGGTGAGTTGCTACAACTAGTGCCATGACAATCAGTGCAGGCTGTTGGACATTGGAGGCCATACTTCCAGCACGTGCATTTCTTGGCTGCACAATCTTTCTTGCATCCACATCTGATGATCTTAAGGTGTTATGCGGAAGCTGGTTTTTTATCAGTTTTTATATTCCATCCATGACCTGCCAACTCAGTTTCCCGATGTCAGGCTGTCTGCCATTCCTTTCCATTCTAATATCTGATAGTACACACGCAGACTGGAACTTTCCTGCTGCTGAAGTTGGTTGGAAAGTCTTTGCTTATGCAATCTTCTATTGAGTCACCACCATACAGGCATACAAGTGCCTTCTCTTCAGTTGGAATAATGGCCTCCTTCAGGTATGATGCCGGCTGACTAAATACCATGGCAAGCTCACAGAAGTCGACATTCTTCATGATTTTCTTCAGTGCTACGCATTTCCCTAGGCCAAATATGCGAGATGTTGTGTCGCAGTCCAGAAGCACACGACACAGAGAAAGTAGTCACACACACTACTTCCTAGAGTTTCCTTCAGCTGTTTGATATTCCATGTTCGGTTTTTCTTGGAGTTGCCTTAATTGGGCTCAGGTGCAAAAAAAAAGAAGTCCTTTGAATTCAGATCAGCGTAGAAGATCAGCACGATGAGAAGGTTTGTGTCATCATCGACAATAACTGTTGCTTTAAACTTCTGTTGCATCACAATTAATTCCAGGATCTGCTCTTCCTCAATTGCTACATCACAATGAAGATCAAGAAGATGCTGTCCGTTAGTAGTTGTTCAAGAGAGAACTTAAGTGGGCTGCTCCGCGAAATTAGCTACTCCACATGAAACACCTGGGTGCTGAACAACCTCTGGAAATTCCTATATTGATCACTATAGGAGCTTCCAGAGGTTGTTTGTACTCGTTGCAGATGTACACTATACAAGTCTGGTATCAGCATGGTATTTAGAGCAGCATCAAAGAGTAAATGGCTCCGCACATGCAGCTCTAGAAATAGCCTTTCCACCAAGGATATATGGCATACACTATACTTCAGGAAGTTCATGGGGTCCTGAGGCCGTCATCAAATGCCCTGCAGAACGATCTGCTTCAAGTCACTGTCACTTGGCTGGCTCCTGGTTATTGTGAGTGCCTTCCACCAGAGCAGCTTATCAAACGTCCAAACAGGTGTATAGTATTATACCGTTTAGCATGGGTACAAGCAAAACGCAGAGTTTAGTAAACACGTGCAGGATGGATCACTAGGATTCATGTCAATCATGGGGAGAAACATAGAAGATGACTGATCATGGTACTTGCCGTTGTTTTTATTATCTGTATCGTTCCGGACCTTCGAAGGCCTTGGGGACCGCAGTAGTAAAGATGTCTTCAACAACACATCAAGATCAAATGTTGGATCTTCTGGTCCCCGTTTCACAATCGGCTGGTAAACCAGAGGTTGTACAGTTGTAGATGCCTTTAAGTATTCAATGTTGATACGTCCAACAGTAGCAAAGTCCTCAGCGGATACCGTTTAGTACAGACTTACAGTACTTTATCCCTAGGGTTTGGGTAGCAATGTGCCCATCTGTGGAAAGTACCTGATCCATCAGGAGTGTCGATATTATTTGCTATAACCTGAATGAACTCTTGAGAAATTGCCGCACTTCTTTCATATTTCTTAACCACCGGATAAGAGCATTAGAAGCATTGCCCATGCGTTGTGTCGATCAGAAAGCGAGATGAGAATTGATGATGCATTAGTAGTCCAAGCTGAAGAGGAGAAAGGAGAACCCTTGGACATATTGGCCCGAATTCACAAAGGAGGTTTAGATTTAACCCAGGCTAAATCGCGTCATAATACGTCATAACCCCGAGCTTTAGACCATGGGTCATTATTTTGGTATTCACAAAGGAAGTTTAGATTTAACCCAGGCTAAATCGCGTCATATTACGTCATATTTTTAGCCTGCTCAGAAGGGTGGTTTAAACAGCGGGCTAAATCTAACCCACGGTTTAACCCACGGTTTAACGCGTCATATGACGTCATACCAGCGAGCTTTGGCTTTTTAGCGCAGACGACCGTACAAATTTTGTTGACAAATTTGTGGTGAAACGAAGTGAAGAGACCTTCACAAAGTTGCTGTTTTTTCAACTTTGATAGTCTACATTGTAAGTATTTTTAGTTATTCACAACATATGTGTACCATATTCTCAGTTCTGCTACAATGGAAGCCCAATTGAACATGATTTATGTACGTAAAAAGTGCATGAATAATAATCTTCATCGTAAGTTGCACAGCCTTTGCGAACATTGTCGCAGAACCTAACGCAGCTCGGACCCATGCGTGTGTATTTGTGTTGTGTTGTTTATGTAATCCTGCGAGGCAAGGCAATTTCGCAATAACTGCGAATGTGCCAGCTAACAATACGAAATTAGTTATAACATCACACAATTGTGTGATTCGGGAAGAAAAATATGTTAATCATGACATTTGAGACATTCCTGGCCTCGGGGGGGGGGGGGGGGGGGGGGGGGGGGGGTAGCGACAGTTCCATTTGTATTTTCTGCTTTGCTGATGCTGCTTCTCATCTGACTAACGCTAACGCCTAACGGAGGAGAAC